ACGCTATGCCATTCCGCCATTACCGCCCAGAGCTGGCTTCGCATTAATCCCGCCAGGTCACCCTTTACAAAGGAGATGGGGTGCCGTGTCTCCCCGCCGCCAATTACAGAATGCAACCGAGCCAACACTTCCAGAGACCAAGATGATGCCGCCCATGAACGAATGACTACCTGACACTATGCCGATCCCAGAAATATAATGAAGGAAAGTATAGAAAAAAAAAGAGAGAAAAGGGAGAAGAGAGACACAGAGAGAAAAAGAATTGATGGCTTAGTCTGTCGCGTAGATGTAGCAGAACGGCCCGGCCATGGTGTCCATCGCGTTCCTGAGGGAAATCTTGTCGTTCAGCGGTCCCAAGTCGAGCAGGTCGTCGAGCTGGACCACCGGGCTGGGAGGACTGTTCTCCATGGTGCCGGTGCCGAAGATGGTCTATATTTCAGTCAGCCCCTCTGGTCATCCCTTAAAAGGCGCAAGACTTACTTGACGGTTCTCCCAGTCCAGGTTCTGCCACAGCCAGTAGACACGGTCGAGCTGCGTGTGGTGGAGGTAGAACACCGGGTCGCCTGTTAAGAAACTCGTCAGCAAAAAACAACATCCTTCACCAAACATCTAGTCTCGTCAACATACCAGGGCTGATGTAGACGTCAGAACCAGGATCCAACCCGAAAGCATAGTGTCCCGCCCCGTGGACGCCGAGCTGGCCGAGACCGGAATAGTTGGTCTGGCCCTGCGCGATGCCCTGGAACCACTCAATGTTGTCGTTGTCCGTGATGAGATCCGTGACATTGCGGAAGCTCGCCCAGGTCCGCAGGACGGCGCCGTTGAGGTCGCGCTTCAGGCAGCGCGGGTTGTCCGCCGTCGGGGTGTCCGAGTTGTTGGACACCACGGAGCCGAGGTTCGGCATCGCCTCAGGGCCGAGGTGCACCGTCATGTTGGTGAAGGGGCCCGACGTCACGCAGCCGCCGCCGGTGCCGGCGGGCAGCGTGATGACCTGCTCGGTGCTGTTGAGGACGAGGCCGTCGTGGGCGACGTAGGCGCCGTCGCTGCCCATCGAGGTCGCAGAGCCGTCGAAGATCGGGCTAGAGGCCGGGTCGTCGCCGTCGAGACTCCATTCCCAGTAGGGAAGTGTTCCTGGGTCGTGTCAGTCGATGTCGAAGCATAGAAACTCTGTGGTTGACTTACCCGTGTAGCCACACTCGGTGCTGAGCTTCTCCTCGTAGGTATGGATGTAGTAGCGGTGCCAGAGGAGGAACGTCGCCTTGGTGAGGTAAGTATGCGAGCAGCATATTTGGAGATAGCTTGTGTGTACTTACCGACATGTGGACGTAGCCAGTCATGTTCTGGTGTAGAGCCACGAAGTCGTCAAACATGGACTTGGAGCCGGCGATGTCGGTGTAAAGGGGAGCCTTGGACTGAAGGCAGGTGACGGCATCCGTGTAAGCGATACGGTCCTCGCCAGGCATGTTTCTCCTGTCGAATCGACTTTGGTCAGCAACCTACACGGTTCGTTAAGGGGAACGAGGAGGCAAGTTAGATAGCAACATACCATTCACGGCGAACACGGACGTTGTCCTTGGTGCACTGGGAAGTGCCATTCGCTGCCAGGCGCGCAAGAGCGTTGTTGTAGGCCTGGGCGTGAAGATCCGAGAGTGCTTCACCCGAGTCGACGGCCTCCTGGGTGTAGTTCGTCGCCCGCGGCATGAGACGAGCAGAGGCAGACTGCGCCAGCAAGAGCGGGAGAGCGGCCGCCGCGAGGATGGAAGACGGGGGAAGCATCGTGAACGATGAGAAGGCGGCAACAAATTAAGACTATAGCCAAGAAGCGAGCGTTTGGCTTGATATTAAAAAGAAAACGAGAGGAGTTGTCGGCTCGTGTCGTGCTGGCTTGGCCCGAACTATCTTTTTTTCTCTCCTTCGACGGGAAGTTCTGAGGCTCTTTTATATCGAAAACGATCTGCGAGCCAAGCCCGAGACGGGCCTAAGCAGCGGTGACGATCACCAGGAAACAAGCCTTTCACATCCTCGTTCTCGACAGCTCCCGCTGCGCCGTTGCCGAAAAGATGGTGTGCTCGCTGCTGCAGAGCTACCCAGCTAGTCGGCGCCCCCAATCCTACGAACCAGGGGATCGCTACACTTCAGAGGACTCATGGCGATTGCGCACGTCGACGCTCGACACGTAACGTCCTTATCCACAGCTCTCTATTCTAGAGGAGGGGGGGCAGAAAGAAAGAAACGGGTCAAGGTTGTGAGGTTGTAGTCTAAGCTAGGCCCGAGGCGGGCCAAGAGAAGTCTGTACTGACAAGACCAACGTGGTAGCGTGGTATGGATCCCGGAGTCTGAGGCGAAGCAACACACACAGCTTCGAGCCGAGTGACGAGATAAGCGTCTTCGACAGGCCCGGATAAGTTGAGCCTCCCGCTTCGCTTCCACTCGCGTTCGGGAACAGTGTGGGGGATAAGCAAAAGAGACAACCCTACACTTGTAAGGGCACACTTTTTGTTTTCGTCACGAGCGAGCCGAATCACCTGCAGCGGATGAGTCCCGTGAAGCGGAGGAATCCTAGCGAGGCGGTGGGCGCGTTGCAATCTCTGCTGCTCCTCTATTGCATGGCGGGGAAAAGAATGAGTAGTGTCTTACGCAACCAACAGGCCTATCCCCTGAGGTCCGAGCAGAAAAATGAAGACGATGACGAGAAATGTGAGAAGCGAGGATTTCACTCGGTTACTAGCCGTTTGTTTCCCCGCGCTGTCAAGGCTCGTTCGCGGGAACGAGCGAGAGACCGAGCCGAACATCGAAAGAGTTGACGATATCAACTCACCAAGACGGCTCTTATCGTCATCGCCAAGACAGTAAGCAAGGCTGGGTGAAGCATACTAGCAGAAGAAGGTGTTTACCGCGGATCGGCTGCACTTGGCTTTTCAGATCGAAAGAGAGACGTACATGTTCAACCTAGATAGAGCACCCATGTCGACGGCCATAAGCAGCAATTAAAAGTGGCTCCTAAGCAGTGTTAGGAAGCCGTCTTGGCAACCTTCTTTTGTTAACCTTCTCTACCAATCTACATGAGGTGCGTTAGTACCTTTCCCTATTCTCTAACGCCTTAACGAGGACCCGTAAATGTCCAAAGACGGGAACCTGGCAAAACCTTACGCGTGTAATTCGGACGACGGGGAGTGGCTTGGCTGTTGGCGACGTTTTGTTCTGTGTCGATCGCAATTCACACAAAGTCCTCCGGGGCGGGTCCGGTCTCTGGTCTCCGGAAGGCGGGCGGCAGGCGGCCCGGGATGGGATGCACGATCGGTGCTTGTGCTGTCTGACTCGCCCAGACCGGCCGTGTTGGGCAGGTGCTTTGGGTTCCCTGGGAGGGGCCTCAGTGTTTGTCCCCCCCGGACCACTCTCGCTCCCACCCGTTACACTGCAGGCGACCACTCGAAGCGACGATCCGAGGAAACACGTAATCCTGTTTCTCACGAACCCGCCGCTGCACTGCAATCCACGACGAGAGCAACATCCCAAAAAAAGAATGCCATGGGGCGGGGATCTGTTTTTCCTCACTGCGGATATGTAATTTTGTTTCTTGTGTGTTTAGAGTTTGATGAAATCCAATTGCCTAGAGAACGCCACGCTCAATGCAAATCAAATAAAGTGTGTACACTGCTTTTGGTGTCTTCTTTTTATAAGTTGTGGATGGGTTTGCTTCTTCTTTGTGTCTTCTCGAGCTTTGTTCTCGTTGTCCTGTGCATTCTGACAGAGTCGACACCTCCGGAAGAGAGCGGACGCGAAAGGGGCGCAGCTTCGGGAATCTGACTATCCTTCAGGCAACGACAATAAGAGATGGGTATAAGTGCCTTGCATCTAGTCGCGTAGTCTTCTTCTTGCCCCGGGTAAAGAAAGCCAAGATCTCTCACTGGAGGAGCTCCTCGCAAGTCCAATCCTCGTAGCTGACGTTCGGTTAGCCTGCGTCGCTCACGGCATCGTCCATCCGGGCAGGCTTGCGTGGACTGCAGGGCTGGGGGCGGGGGTGGTCGGATTGGGTTGGGTTGGGGGTCATCCGGGGTCAACACTTACTATCCGTCCGGCATGTATCGGCGCACGATAAGAGGAATCTTCTTCTCACGCATCTCCTTGATGGCGATCTGAAGAGGATCCGTCTCACCTTCCAGGTCGACGAGTACCGGCGCATTCATGCTACAAAAGGCCCCGCGTCAGCAAAAGTTTCGACCGATGGCCTGCATCGTGAAGTGGGAAACAATGGCGCCGTCGTACCTGATTTGCAGAGCGCGCGTGCCGAGGATACGGGCGCGTTCGTACTTTGTCATGTAGGGTGTGGTCGTGCGCTGGTCATCGGGGATCTTCTTGTCGCGGTGGCTCTTCTCGTTGCCCTTGCCAGAGTTCGCCGCAGCAGAGGGGTCGCCAGACACGACGACGTTGTCTGCGTCCTCCTCGTCGCCCTCGGCGCGCCCGACCTCCTCGTCCTCAGCGGGGACCTCGGGATCCCAGTAGTCGGCGGCCTCGTCCTCGTACATGGGCTCGTCGCTGCCAATCGTTAGAGTCGCGTTTCTTCCTCAATCAGAAAACCTGTCTGGACGTACCCTCCGCCAACATCATCGTCGCCAAAGTCAGACATGTTTCTTATCGATGGTGGGTGCAGTTAACTGAAGGATGCCGTAGTGGAATTGGGTGGTGGTCGAGCTTCCGTCGCGTAATTGTAGGTGTCGCGGGGAGGGACGGGTTGACTCTGCTGGATCCAGCCGTAAAAAATTATTGACGAGGCTGCGATTCAGCAGCTGGAATGTGGGTCTGCACTAGCCTTATCAGTACCAAAAAATGCTTATCCGGACCGAGGAGACCCCGGCTTCTCCGATGTGGCTGGTGAGCGCACAAAATTTCGTCTCACCGCCTGACGATATTCTGCCAGAAATAAGTTCACGAGCTGGTTCCTGAGACGATACTTTTCACCCCATCGCCAAGGAAGGCATGCCCTTCCTCAATCGCTCGCCATGACGAAAAGGAAGGCTTCAGAGGCTGACCTCGTCTCGGAACCTAAGAGGTCCAAGATTGACGACCCCGAAGCCGCCGGCACTGGTACGCACATATCTGGCAATTGGGTGTAAGCCAAGTTTTTTTCTTCTCACTAACATGACGCCCGGGAAGCCCTCAGCGACGATGACTTCGACGACACGGCCAGCAACTCCGCCTCGACAGCCAACGCCGACGCAGAGACGGTTCTGACGGGACAGACCTCCCTCACCACCCGCTCCCGCAAATTTCCCTCGGACCTCAAGACAATTCCCTGCACGTATCCCGACTGCCACAAAACCTTCAACCGTCCCGCCCGCCTGGCCGCCCACCTGCGCTCCCACACCGACGACCGCCCCTTCAAGTGCACCTACCCGGGCTGCGACAAGGACTACCGCGAGGAGAAGCACCTGCGCCAGCATGTCAAGGGCTCCCACACCCAGGAGCGAGCATACACCTGCACACACGATGGCTGCGGCAAGTCGTTCCTGACGGCAACCCGTCTGCGCCGCCACCAGGACGTCCACGCCGGCCAGGAGCGCTTCCGCTGCCGCGAATATCCCCCGTGCAACCAGAGCTTCCGCAAGCACAACACCCTGCAGCGGCACATCCGCTCGGAGCACCTGGGCGCCCACGCCTACCCCTGCCAGGAACCCGACTGCGGCGCCGGCTTCGACTCCCAAGGCGCCCTGCGAAACCACACCCGGCGGGAACACAGCGAGCCGCAGTTCTGGTGCGAGGAGTGCGGCGGCGAGGAGGGCGGCGCCAAGGTCGGCTTCACCTCGTTCGCGCTGCTGCAGGCGCACATCCGTAAGGAACATCTAAACTGCATCTTTTGCGAGTTCAAGTGCACCGGCCAGTGGGAGCTGGAGCGGCACGTCGAGATGCGGCACTCGGGCATACCCGTCGAGGCCCGCAAGACGATCGCCTGCACCTGGGAGGGATGCGACAAGAAGTTCACCAAGAAGCACAACCTCACGGTGCACATCCGCACTGCCCATGAAGGATTCCGTGTCGTCTGCGGCGAGCTCGATGTGACTGGTACTGCGGGCTTGCAGGGCTGGTCAAACGAGCAGGGTTGTGGTGCTGGTTTCATCAGCAAGATGAAGCTGGAAGAGCACATTCGGCACGTTCACCTAGGTCTACCGCGGCCGCAGCCTAAACTCACCGAGGGGCCGTCAAACCTCATTGATGACATCGCCGGCACGAAGCGGACCATCCAGTGCGCGATTGAAGGCTGCAATGCCCGCTTCATCCGCCACCACGACCTCCAAGTCCATCTTGAGAACCACCCCCCTGCGGCTCCACAGATGGACCAAGTCGAAGCGGCAATACTGAGTTTGGCAGACACCCCCAGCTCAGAAGACATGAGCGCCGCTCCCTTTGGCGAGAACCGTGAGATGCCGGAGCTGCCCTTGTACGGCATCATACCCGGCGTCACGGACTTCACCGGCGGCGACCAGGGCCAGACCGACGATTTCTGGATCGGTGCCGCAGATGACTTCAACACACCGCCGCAGACGTGGCAGGAGGAGGAAGCTGCCATGCGCGCCCTCATTGACGAAGACTTCACCCGTTTCGTCGATCCGGCGCTGGGAAATATGGCGTAGAAAAAGGACACATGATTTTGACGACGTATTGATACCCGGCCACAGGCCACACCAAAAGTTGATGGATGGGGAATCACTAAAAGTTGTTGCTTTGTCACACATATGTAAATGAAATCAAAGGAGCTAAGATGTTACGGTCACGAATGTGGTACCTCGAAGTGCGCTAGTGAAATCATTCATTTTCATTGAACCCATAATTGACGTCCCCCTCTATAATGCGCCGCTGGAATGCTGCTCAGCAAGTCGATTCTAACCAAGCCTGTGACAGCGAAGCGGTAGTGATGATTCTAACACAATTAAAGCCTTCCGAACCCGAAAACCTGCCTTGGTATAATGTATGTATGCCCGTGCCGACCGAAACCAAAAGACAGATCCTGTGACTCCCTGAACCGTTCGAGCATGACTTGAAATGCCCAATGCGAAAGCCCGTATGCCGTTAATGCGTAGATGCAATGGCGCCAGTGATACCCAGCAGAGCCATGCCTATGAACCCGAAAAATATGCAGAGGTTGCGGTTGTGATTCAAGCTGAGCGCCTCGACAAAGAGTTGCAGGCCGACGCTGACCATGATGCCAGCTGTGATGGCAAACATACAGGCGTAAGCTACTGGGGTTGGGCTGATGTGGGTGTGATTAGCGAGCTTGAACCACAACACAGCAATGCCAGCGCCAAGGGGCTGGCTGAGGCCGCCCAGGATGGCGGCCCAGAACATGGCCTTGAGACGACTTCCAAGGGCCATGTACAATGGCAGAGCCATGGCAAAACCTTCGGTAATGTTGTGCACGAAGAGAGCCATGAACACGTTGAAGCCGAGTGACGGGTTAGCGTGGTTCGTGGCGTAGGTGATGAAGCCTTCAGGGAACTTATGAAGCGCAATGGCGATGGAGGTTTGCAGGCCGAGTGACATGAACGCGTTCGTGGGCACATGGTGGTGATGTTGGGCCTCGACATCCTCTTCCTCGCCGTCCTCGCCGTGCGCCTCGTGGTCATGGTCGTGACGATGACTGTGGTTGTGGCTGTGACTATGGCTATGATCATGATCGTGCGCTTCGTGGTCCACGTGATTCCGTGATGGCATGGGCTCTCTTGACGCCGCCCGACTGGTCCGTACCTGTCCACTGAGGGGTGAATGGCACTGAGAGTCGCTCTCCTCCAAGTCTGTCAGATCGGTATGGCTGTGGTTATTTGGGTACAGCTGTGCGATGCTGGTCCTCACAATAGTTGGGTGTCTCGAGGAGGCCGCTGAGCGGTTGGCCACATGCTTGAAACATTCCTGGCCGCATGGATCGGAGTACCCAAAGCAAGGGCCCTCCTCATCGCAGTTCGATTTCATGTCATTCATGAAAGATGCGATCCGCTGTTTGACTTGAAGCATAGAGGGTCGCCTTTTCACCGTCGCACCGCGGCTTCGCGATATCCGCGGCGGGTGCGAGTGCGTCGTGTTGAGGGCCAGGGCGCTCCTAGCATGTCCCTTAGGCATCAGGGATCCTCCGTTCTCATGCGCCGTCTCTCCATTGAGCAGAGGCGTGGACTCGGTAGCGTGGCCATTCTTAGTGATGCTCTCCACAAAGGGCCGTCGTGATGATCGGCGACTGCCCGAGTACAAAGACGTCTTTCTGCTCTGGCTGCGTGACCGAGTATCGGCTTCATTGTGTGTGTGGTCACAATCAACCACATGCGACGGCATGTACTGGTGCAGCAGACGGGAGATAACCTGTATACCAAAAAAGCCCCCAACAAAGCAGCCCATCATAATGAAGCCCGCCTTTTGGTCTTGGTAACCATCCTCCTTAAGGTACTGTTTTGATGACGGCAGCATGCTGTTTAACGCAGAGTAAAGCTAGATACCGGGAGTGGTATTAGTAATAGTTCTGAGGTGTCGCGTCGGGGCTGCTGGAATGACATACCATAACGCCGAAGCTCAAGCTCAAAGAGCTGGCGAGAAAGACATTGCTTTCTTGTATCCTGAAGTTGCGCTGCCCTGGTAGCCATCGTACCAAAATGTCGATGCAAATGACGGACGCGCCTACGATACAAGCTGCCGAGAAACACCAGTCAGCAAAATTTCCACTTCAGACGTCCATGGAGTTTTGTCACCTACCAATTCCACTCACGATACTCATGATCCACCCCCTGGTATCGTTGTCGATCTCTGTCGCCTTCATGATGGGCGGCTTGGGCTCAGCGCCTCCAATGGTTGCCTGTTGCGATCGCGATCCTTAGCGCATGTAGCGAAATGGTATTTCGATGTCTTTCTTGTTGAAGCGCAATTTGTTGGACCCAATTTAGGGAAATCGCCAGAGTCCTAGGTGTGCCTGGGGAACAGGTGCTGGTGTGGCGGCTTCGATTCGTCCTGCAGGAGAGCGGGTGACGTATTGCGGCGCGCAATAGACCCAGACGAGTGGGATATTGGTTCGAGGGTCCCGGGAGACGGGAGCGGATAAGTATGGGGATGTTGTAGATTTCGGGAGAGGCGTTTAGAACCTTGATCGTAGGTAGATTGTCCAAAGAGGTAGGCAAGATGGGGGAGAAGGGATAGGGAAAGTCGAAGAGGTTGCTGGAGGAAGCAAAGGGTATTGTTGTTGGTGGGAGAGTAGTGATGTAGACGGCTGCCAATAAGATGGAATGGGACTGGGCGCTGAGCGGCGTGCTTTCCAGGTTTGCGCTGGGGCAGCAGCCAGAGAGGTGGGGGGCTTCACTGGTGTAAGTAAACTGGGAGCGCCTGCACCTTAAGCTTTCCAGCAGCGCGGATTGTACGCAGTAGTGGATTCGGAGGCGCTGGATTTGGCGCTTTCTGGAGCCACTGCGTTGTTTCTGTGTGATGGATCATGGGCGGTAGTGAAGTGGGCTGGGGGGCTGGGGCCTTCTGTTGTTCATAACTGGACCGAGGCCATCAAGGTTCTCAAAATTCCTCCTTCAGTACACAAGTCACTCAGCTACTCACGCAAGAAAAGGTCTCACGCCCAAACAAAGCTTGTTTCCCATCCATTCTCTTTTGCATATCTACTTTCCACTTTCCACTTCGGACTCCCCTTGCCTGCGCGTTATCAGTTGGCTGCCGCCCTGCCCTGCCTGCAGCTTGCCGTCTGACCCTCCCCGATCGCAACCCACCTTTTGTTGCCTTTTGGCGCACAAGCAGGCGATGCGGCTCTTTCAATGAGAGAAAGACGGCGTCGAAGTCGAACTGCATATGTTTCTCAAAAACTTTGTTTTGTTCTACAAGGTGCAGTCATTCAGAAGAAAACAGACTGTATACAAAAGATGCACGTTGTCAGCCGCTTTGTTGGGATCCCCCCGGCGGCGAGTCAAGCTGCTGGTCGACAACACACCCATGGCCTTGGCTTGAGAACCCGGATGGCGCTACATGCCGGGTATCCTCGTACTCCCTCGAGACCCGTGACTCTTTGGCGATGTACGCCAGCTCATTGAAGCCGCCCGAAGCGCATGCTAGGGAGATGCCAACACATGTGAAAGGAGGGAAGACTGCTGCTGCTTTGACGGCTGTCGTTATTTTAGGTAGGGACCATGGATCCAAAGAAACTTTTTGAGCATCGCAGGGTCTCGCCCAGACCGCGAATCGGAGGCTGGCATTTTGTCATCCGCTTTTTTTTCTGAGCATGGTGCCCGCCTCGTCTCTCGGTGAAGCAACTGCACGCTCACCGAGGCCAGCCCCATTCCAGCCCCTCAGCCTGCACCCCGAAATCCTTTCAATCCTCATCCCCGCCTTCGCACCTGCCAGCTGTCGGCAAATGCTCGGGACATCTGCAGCGGAAGCCCCACACGAGCTCCTCCTTCCGATCGGCGGCCCTGGAGAAGTGAGATCGGTGCAGTCGGCGGACCAAGCGCCGTCGCAAGCCCAAAATTTTATCCAGCTTCGAGCTCCAAATCCCCGTCCCGTGAAGAACCACAACTGAGACATCCACCACACCACCACCAGATCACATCCACGTGCCCTTCCTTCCAACACCCGTGGTCGTCGCTGTCATAACCGCCTGACGCTGGCGCCCGGTTTCCGTGCTCCTTTCCTCCTACAAACTACTTTTCGAATCCCCTCAGAGCACCGGCCGCGACCCAGCCCGCCATGTCGAAAGCAACATCCATCGCCCTCGTCGCGGCTCTAGGCGCGGGAGGAGGCGCCGCCGTCACAGCAGCCATGTACGGCCTCCGGTCCAAGCAGCCCGCCACCGACGCGCCCATGACCGCCGCGCCCTCAACAAACGCCTTCACCACCGCTCCCACCGTCCCCGTCCCGGGCTCCCAAATCTTCGACAACAAAGCAAACCCCAACGCACCCCTGCCGTCGGCGCCCCCGCCAATTCCCGGCGCCATCCCCGGCGCCATTGTCGACCCCGCCGGCCTCTTCCAGTACGGCTTCCCCGGCCCCGTCGCCGACCTCGCGCCCCGCGAGGGCCTCATCTCGAGCTTCGACCGCCGCACACGCAACCCCCACTGGGTCGTCGAGCACATCACCCCCGCCTCCCTCGCCCAGAAGGGCGGCGATCGCAAGGGCAGCACCTTCCTCGAGGACCCCTCCGTCCCCGAAAAGTTCCAGGCCAAGCTCAAGGACTACTTCCGCAGCGGCTACGACCGCGGCCACCAGGTTCCCGCCGCCGACTGCAAGTGGTCCCAGCGCGCCATGGACGACACCTTCTACCTCACAAACATGTGCCCCCAGGTCGGCGACGGCTTCAACCGCGACTACTGGGCCCACTTTGAGGACTTCTGCCGCCGCCTGACGTCGCGCTACCCCTCCGTCCGCATCGTTACCGGCCCCCTGTACCTCCCGAAGCGCGACCCCGTCGACGGCAAGTGGTACACAAAGTACGAGGTCATCGGCAACCCGCCCAACGTCGCCGTGCCGACGCACTTTTACAAGGTCATCTTCGCGGAGGACGGCAAGGCCGGCGGCAACGTCGCCATCGGCGCCTTCGTTATGCCCAACGCTGTGATCCCCAACGAGAAGCCGCTCTCCGACTTCGAGATGCCGTTGGAGGCCGTCGAGCGTGCTGCCGGTCTGGAGTTTGCGTCAAAGCTGGCTCCGCAGCGTCGCAGGAGGCTGTGTAGCGAGGCGTCGTGCGCCATCATCGTGAGGGACTACGCCGACAGGCAGAAGGCCTTCACCAAGAAATAAGAAGGGCTGCTGTTGGGTTGAGAACACATTAAGGCGAGCGCGGGAGTTTGCGATCTAGAGGTCTGCATTCTCCAGGGCTATGGGGGAAGTCGCCCATCTGAAGAAGTTCCATTCATGTCTGTACATTTACCCTCGGAGAGAGGAGCACAAACGAGGAAACCCATTGCTGGGGAACATCGCAGGATAGCATCTGAGCGAGACCGTAGGGCGTGTGGTTTGCTGGCGGCGACACATACATGTACACTAGATAGGCCCGACGGCTAGACAGTTGATTGGACTGCCTCTACATCACAAGCGATCTTTTTCAAACTGGATATGGGCAGTCTTGGTTGGGGAACCTAACACGCATGATCCGCAAGCCATTTTGCTGTCATGTCTGTGGAAGTACTGCATGCATGGCAGTATCTTCCACCCGGCGTAATAATTCTTCAGGCCGGAAGACAATACTGCGCCAGTATCCTGTTCTCTTGTCAGGTCAGCGTGGAGAGATAATACGGTTTGAAACACAGCGAACGATCAAACGAGACATCCGGGCAAGCATGTGTTGTTTAACTTTGATTATATCACTAGGGTATCACCACTGCCCTTCTCCCTTTTCGTATTTACTATTCTTACACCAAGGTCACTGTCCAATTTGCAGTTGTTGGTTACGCCTGGGATCTGTCCTGGGATTTGTCCTGAGATCTTTCCTTGGATCTCTCCTTGGATCTCTCCTTGGATTTGCTCCAAGATCTTTCCTTGGACCTTTCCTTGGATTTGCTTCAAGATCTGCTCCGAGATCTGCCCTGAGTACTGCTCTGAGTACTGCCATGTGACTAACGAATTCTCGTATAGTTGCCGCGTCGCTGCTCCGCCTTGAGACTCTCCTCCTGACTGGGCAAAGGAGCTCTCCTGCCCCCGCGGTCGTGCCCGTTAAGGTCAGCTCCGGGCGGCGGCATAGGCATGGGAGGGAATCCGGGTGGTGGTACAAAATTTGGCGGCGGGACCATACCGGGAGGGAAACCGCCGGGCGGTGGAGGAGGGAGCGTGCCTCCGGCCTTCTGGATCATCTCGGCGATCTTTGCAAGGTCGGCAGGATTGCTCGGGTCTATGCCGCCAGGCAGTTGGATAGGCGGTGGCGGAGCCCCGTTCAGGCCAGGCAAGCCTGGTAGAGGGAACGGCAGCGGCGGGGGAGCTCCACCGTTTGCGCCAACGCCTGGGATCATCGGTGGTGGCGGTACCGGAGGCCCGCCAGCGCCATTCGGTGGCATAGATAGACCGGGCAGGCCAGGCAACCCAGGCAAGCCGAGGAAACCAGGGACAACTGGCTGCTTGAGCGGCATCTTCTGGTCGACGAGGCCGTCCATTTCGTCCTCCATCTCCTGCTCCTCTTCTTCCTGTCTTTGGCGACGACCTCCGCGACGGTCCCAGGTTCCTTGAGCCTCAGCCGCCGCCTCTCCGATGTGATACCTGTCCTGGAAGACGTCGGAATCTCCCGGCCGCTTTCTGGACCAGAACCTCGTGATACGATCGTTCGAGCCAGAAGCCAGGATGTGACCAAGCGGGTGCCAGTCCAGAGACCAGATCGCGAAATCGTGTGCGTATGGGACCTTATGAGCTGGGTAGATGGTCTGGGCGCCAGTTGTGGTTGGGTCCGAACTGTCGTATGGCGCGATGGTGGTGTGGCCAGCTGGCGTATTCGGCTCGTCTAGGATGTAATGGTACAGAGAGCCGTCGTGTCCACCGGTGCTAAGGAAATTCGAGTGAACGGGATGCCATGCGATGGTTGAGATGTCCTTCTCGTGTCCCTTCAGCAAGCAAATGTCTCTCATCATTCGGAGATCGAAGACGCGGGCGGTTTGGTCTCTTGCTGAGGTTGCGAGGCAGTCTCCTTGAACTCGCTCAAAGAGCGTCTTGGTAATCGTGTTCTTATGGCCGTGAAGCGTCGTCAAGCAGCGGCCGGTTCTCGGATCCCACAGCTTAACCACGTGGTCTTTTGAACCCGACACCAACAGACCTTTGGTGGGATGCCAATCACAACTCTTGGCGTCCCAGCCGTGCCCCTTGAGAACCGACTCTTCGACTCCACCAGCGAAGTCAAAAATCTTCAATGTCGAGTCGTCGCATGCCGTGACGAACTTGGAATCGTTCGGGCTGAAGGCGAGGTCTCTGATCGGGTCGTTATGTGCAGCAATACTCTGAAGGTTGTTAAAGTTGGGCTGCCAGTACTTGACGCTGCCGTCGTGGTCCGCGGAGATGAGCCAGTCGTCGTTGTGAGAGTATGCTAGCGCTCTAATGGCAGAGTCGTGAGCCTGCATGATAGTCTCAAAGTTGAATCCGGTGCCGTTCCATAATGTAAATTCTCCGCTGGAGGAAGCCGTCAATAGACGGCGGCCTTCTGGTGTCCATCGGACGACATTGATAGGATGTTTGATCTTGTTCAGTGATGAGTGAAGGTGCTTCACGGGTATCGAATCGCCAGGATCTGTTCTTCTGGCTGAAGGAGGTGTGAACTGAGATATGTTAGCAGGCGTATGAAGTTATGAGAGATACAATACTGACATCGACGATGAAGCTCGCGCTTGGCCTCTCAGCCTCGCCAGTGTAGACATCTCCGTCTGCCGGCGCGCGATTGCGCATCCAGTGTGCGACGGTTGAGCCATAATCTGTTACGGGACCTGAACACGGTGTCAGCGGTCCTGCTAAAGCATCTGGTCTGTCTCAAGTCTTCACGTGAGCCTGACGGAGAGATGGTGCCCTGCACGTGTCCGCAATACACGCAAGTTCAAACATTCCCATCATGCACCGAGATTGCGATTTCGTCGAAGAGGGCAACTCACGTCGTCCTCTAGCTCTAATAAAGCCTCCGTCCTGACCGTCTCCTGGCGGCCCTCGCCTGTCGTGATGATCCCCACGAGGATCGTAGGCCATCTTTAAAATCCCATGCGATGAAACGTGCAGTAAAGAAATGCGGTCTTGTGGAGCGTGGTTTTACTAGTCCGAAGTCGATTGCTATTTCTGTTGCAACCTGGCGCGTTTAGGTGGTGATGGATGCTTCCTGCTTGACGGTGATCCACGAGGCCGTCGCCAATCACTGAAAATGACCGCGACGCGTGCACGGGCCCGACCCATTCTCTCGAGATCACATGACCTTGAGGCTGATTGAGCTGGAGCCAAGGTCGAGACGGTACGTACCTCCCTCGTGGCTTCAGTGGTGTCACATACTGGTGGTGGCGTGCGTTAGCTTCACGGTTTGTCTTATCGGCGCCAACTGCCTGCTTATCCGGGCCAACATCGGGCCTGATGCTTCCATTTTTATATCCTCCGAAGTCTTCTTCTCCAGACCTCGTTCTTTCGTCGATAGAATGAGGTGATAATTAGGTACAGCCCATGACCCATCGTCTTTTGCCTAGCCGCAAGAAATGCCATGCCGCGACCCCTTCATTTTGGCATGTGATAGAGTTCAGCCACGGCTCCCTCTTCAATTTCTCTCATGGACGCCCCACGAAGCCCCGTGTCCCACCACTCAGAGCTTCCACCGGGATCGCCGTCGCTATCCGTGGAGCCGTAGCACCCCTGAAGCGCATGCATGCCGCTTTTCTCGTTGTAGCGTTAGCTCCCAGTAAGGTGATTTGGCCCGGCTGCCCGCTGTTGCTGCCAAAGTGCTGCAAATGCAATCCAGACCCGAGGACCTTGGCTGCTGTGGGTGCTGTCACCTCAGTGGACAGGTTCGGCGACCCTGACATTCTCAAGGTCCCCCCTTCCAATCTTTGCAATCCTCGGGGCCGTGCTTCCATCTGTCCATCCAGTTCGCCAGGAGCTCTCGGCTGTCAACTCCTCTGATCACCCCCATTTGTTTTGCTGTCTCTGAAATTTTGTCTCTCTTCTCCGACTTCGACAAGCCCGTTCTGCACGCCGGCTGCATTCTTGTCGTCAGCGCGCCTCCTGTTCCCTCATTCCTACACGTCGAGCAGCGAATCCCCACGCATCAAGGGCTGATGGCTCCGGCCTAGTCTCCTCCACCTGTTTTCCGCCCCCTTCCCCGAGCGAGCCCAGTGTCTCCCCCTGCCCTGTGCCTTGACGTACCCCCTTCCCTCTTTCTGCTGGCTGCGGCTTCAGATCCCCCCCTCGCACGCACGACGTGCCCCTCCTCATCCAATCCACGCTCGACGCCAATGCGCTCACCCATCCAGATAGCTTCCCTCCAAGCTTAGGGAGCTCGGATAGAATCGCAAAAGCGCCGGCCTCTCTGCGTGTCTGCCCTTGGAAACACCGGCTAAGAAGTCAATTGGTAATTTCTTGGCTCCGACCGGCCTTGGTCTGGTGTCTTGCATATTGCTCCGATATCTTATCGTTACGCTTGCCACTCACTCCCTGCATTGCATATACAAAGCTTTCCTCGCCATTAGGTCTCCTCACTCTTTTTAAACTTTCACCCATTTTCCCCGTCGTCATCCACCACTGTGGCACTATTTCCTGTCGTCTTCTGTTCCTTCCATTGCTTCATTCTCGACCGGCCTCAATTGCGCTCAGGACGCATTGCCCGTCATGAACACGGCCACCGTGACGAGCGTCGAGAGCTCAACCATGACCACCACTCTGCGTAACACGAGCAATGGCAGACCCGAGCCGAAGTCCGCCAAGTCATCCGTCTCCGCCTCCGCTTCCGACAACCAGCGCTCGACCGAGGAGCTGAGGAGAGCGGTCCAACGGAAATACAGACACGTTGCCGCCGTTCACAAGAGCGTCCGCCCTTCCACACTGAGCCATGACTCCAACGCCGCACCTAGCTTCCTCGGCTTCAGGAACTTAATGGTAATCGTACTAAGTATGCTCATCGACGACACTGCGGCTTGACGCCCTTGGCTGACTTGATACAGTTGTCGGCAATCTTCGTCTGATGATTGAGAACATCCAAAAAGTAGGCGCACTCCCACAGTAATCCCAGTCACGTCACTGACACGCCGTAGTATGGGGTATTGATCTGTATTGGATGCCACGACTTCCGTAGACAAGATGTGCTTCTTGGCCTGGGCCTCTACGCCCTCATCCCTTGCCATCTGTTCGCCGCCTACCTCATCGAACTGGCCGCTGCTCAACAGGCTAGAGGTCTGAGGGCCAAGTCGAAGGACGGCGCCGCCAGTCCAACGGAAGACCAACGATCTCGGTTCAACGCAACATGGAAGGTCATTGCCTGGATCCATGCTGTGAACATCACTCTCGCCCTGGCCATTACGACATACATGGTGTACTTCCACATCCACCACCCCTTGATCGGCACCCTGACCGAGCTTCATGCCATTATCGTGTGGCTCAAGACGGCCTCGTACGCTTTCACGAATCGAGACCTTCGACATGCCTTCCTGCACCCCGTCAAGGGCGAGCTGGCAGCCATGCCCGAAATCTACGCAAAGTGCCCCTATCCGAACAACATCACGATGGGCAACTTGGGCTACTTCTGGTGGGCGCCCACGCTCGTTTATCAGCCCGCATACCCGAGAACGGATAAGATCAGATGGGTGTTTGTCGGCAAGCGCATGGCGGAGGTCTTTGGCTTGAGCGTCTTCATCTGGTTCGCCAGCGCCCAGTACGCTGCCCCGGTTCTGATCAACTCCCTGGACAAGATCGCATCGTTGGACGTGCCGAAGATTCTGGAGCGACTGATGAAGCTCTCCACCATCTCCCTGGTCATCTGGCTCGCAGGCTTCTTCGCTCTCTTCCAGTCATTCCTTAACGCCCTCGCCGAGGTCACCCGCTTTGGCGACCGATGCTTCTACGAGGACTGGTGGAACAGCGAGAGTCTGGGTGCCTACTGGCGTCTGTGGAACAAGCCCGTTTACACGTACTTCAAGCGCCACGTCTACTCTCCCTTGATCGGCCGTGGCTGGAGTCCCAGGGCGGCCCAACTTGCTGTTTTCTTTGCTTCGGCGGTGCTCCACGAGGTTCTCGTCGGTATTCCCACCCATAACGTCATTGGTAAGTCATGTATCAAAACCCGATCGCAGCAAGGAGCTAATCATGACTAGGCGTCGCCTTTGCCGGCATGTTCCTCCAACTTCCTCTCATCGCCCTCACCACCCCGTTAGAAAAGATGCAATCGCCCACGGGCAAGATGATTGGCAACTGCATCTTTTGGGTTTCCTTCACCATTCTCGGACAACCGTTCGCCGCGCTCATGTACTTTTACGCCTGGCAGGCCAAGTACGGCAGCGTGAGCCGACAGATGGCCTGCGCGAGAAGTTCTTAGACTGTGTTTTATTATAAAGACGGGGGCCAGGGAAGGCGCTCACCCGTCGTTTCTCATGTATCTTATCTACTGGGTTATAGAAAAAACAATAATACTGGCGCTGTTTTGACACCATCTTACATATGATACACTTCAACATGTCATCCGCAAAACGGAATCAACGTCCCGACGCGCTTGCGGTACTGGACGTAGTCGTCGCCAAAGAACCTAATCAGGAGCTCCTCCTCGTGGCGTATCCTCTTGGAGAAGAAGAACCACAGCACGCCCGCATAGCCGAGCAGGGACACGACGTTGCCCATGACCAGCTGGGTGCCGATGGCCCACCAGAAGAAGCCAAAGTAGGACGGGTGTCTGAACCACGCGTAGATGCCGGCGGTGACGAGCTTGTGCGACTCGGTCTTATAGTGCTGCACGGTGTGGTTGAAGCTCTCGCCGGCGGTGATCATGGCCATGGAGCGCACCGTCTGCCCGACGACGACTAGGGCCAGGCCCGCGGCCATGAGCAGCGGTCTCGAGCCGAAGGGCGCCCAGACGGAGTCCCTGAAGAGGACATTTGTGAGAAGGCACTCTGCGAAGGCGGTGGCGTGGGCGATTGCGTAGGCGGGCCAGTTGGCGGTCAGGAGGAAGGCGTGGACGGTGGCCTGCGGGGTGTTGAAGGCGGCGGTCGTCCAGAACTCGAGGAAGTGGAAGAGGGAGAGGGCGGCGAGGAAGAAGGGGAGGCGCCAGAGCGGGGAGGCGGTCGTCGTGAGGATGAGGGCGGTGGAGAGGAGGCCGGTGAGGAAGGCCGCGCCGAGGCAGAAGGCGCGGAGGGCGATGCCGGCTAGGGATTTGCGCTGGTTGGGGTAGAATTCCTGTCCCACGGGCGCGGGTGTGCCGGGAGCAGGCGCGGGGCGGGAGTCGCTGGGAAGAGAGTCAGTTTCTGGAGATGGTGATGATGATGGGGTGTCATCGTGGTGGTGATTCAATAATCTGGAAGGGTCTTGATACAGGGGGTTCACGTGTCTGCGGGAGGACATCGTGATGGTGGGGTTTTGGTGTTGAGGGGTCGAGGAAAGGGTTGCATGTGCTGTGCGGGAGCAGAGCCGTCCGGGGGGGTGAGAGCAAGGCAGGTAGGTCAGGGTCTGAGGACGGAGATTTCACGGCGAGATCGGGGCGGGTACGAAGGGAGCACGGGACCGAGGGAGGTGGAGGGGGCCTGGGGCTGCTACTTACACCCGACGAAAGCTTGTCATTGTGCGTATGTCGTGTGCCTCGTTGGCGAGAGCTAGCTAGCTTGCTTCAATGATCCGATGTCAAGGAGGAAGAGGTGGTGGTGGTAGTGGTGGGTGTCGGCACTCGACGGTTTAGAGTCCGCCTTAGACTGGGGGCCGCGGGACGCGGGGACGGTAGGAAGAGGCCGTGACACTTTGAGGACAGGTACCTGACGGTCAGGTCAGGCAGGGGGGTTGGCAGGGACAGAGAAGGGTGGCGGGCGGCTCTAGCTCCTTGTGTCCGTCATTCCATGCATGAACGACCTCGATCTGTACCTTTCGAGTGCGTATGGATATCCTCTTTCTATTCGACAATCCTGTTCAGCCCTAGTTCAAAGCGTAGAGAGAGATGTGTTGTGAGTGAGTAATCGCCCGCTTCTGGCACTGCAACTGTGTCGAAGAGCTGGTGGAAGTCTGTTCCCTGCAGCGGGCGGATTCGGTTGCGCTGTAATGCTCGGATCTTGCGACGTAGAGGCTCAAAAAAAATGACAGAGTGGACAGCAAAAGAGGATCAGCAGAGATGGACCAAAGAAAGGGGAAAAAAGGGGGGACTCGACGTTGGAGTTTGTGGAGAGAGTCGGCATGCAAAAAGGGACTCCGAGGTCCCACTTCAGCCTGGGCAGGCGGACTTTGTCGTTGCATTCCCTCTTCTAGTGAATCCCACAAGGACAACCGCCGTCTCCAGTGACCACTTCGGTGAGGGAAACGGTAATAAACAGTGGGTGTGCACTGCGTGTTTGGAAGTCTGGAGGACAGGACGGGTGGGACGGGTAAGGCCAAGCGCCCAGCGCGGGCCGAAGGTCAGGGGCGGATGACGCAAGTGCGTGGACCTTTTCTCTATTCTGCCCCCATCAGTCGTCGTCTGTGTCTGTCTCTTGCTGCCGTGTGGCTCCATGTCTCCTGCGGTCTTCGCTGCTGATGCTGCTGCCGCTCTAGGTAGTTTTTGCTGCCAGGTTTCCATGCTGTACTTTGCGCTTTGGGCCCTTGACCAGGGAAAGCACGGAAAGCAACAGGTGCAGGCAGCATGTCGCCGCCTAGTCGTAAGCACCTGGGCTCTCGTTATTTTAGGGTGTTCGGGCTCACCGACACTGACGCTGGACCTGGACTTTTGCTCTTCTTCTGATCATGGGTACACTTTCGAAGGGCAGATAGACTACTGTAGCTCGAAACGGCCGGCAAATAACTCCCGAGATCTTTGTCACACTGCGGTGTTTAATTCTTTTTCTGGCGGGGGAGTAAAAAAAAGAAAAAGGGAAAGGAAAACAAGAGACAAATCTGTCATAGGGCTGGTTTTGGTCTCTCTTGTTTCGTTTCTGTTTCTTCTCTCCATTTACACAAAAAGTTGTTGTTGGTCCCTGTATCTCTTGGAGGTTCTATTTCTGCAACCCGATCTACACCACCTGTCTGCACCGCATATCTCTCTCTCCATCTTGGCTTGCTCCGCCTGCTGCCCCCCTCGTCTTGTCCTGCCCGTCTCGTCAGTCTTTGCTCCCCATCTCGCTTCGCGTTGTTCCTTGTCCGTTGCCCAACGAGTAGGAACGCGACTCTTGACCGCCCTCTTACATAAATCACCTCATACGTATTCTGCTGTACAGTATACACTACACCGACAAGCCGTCGCCCTTCCCCCCTTTACACCACACTCATGCACAAGAAAACCATGGACATCCGCACCATCGACAGGGAAGAGAACCGCCGGCGGATGAAGAATGGCGAGCTTTACCATGCCTTCACCCCGGATCTCATTGCGGATCGGAAACGCTGCCAGGCCGCCTGCACCAGGTTCAACAACGCCGGTGACGTGAGCCGCCGCACGCTTGTCGGCATGTGGAAGGAGTGAGTAGTTCCGCCTCCATTTTACTCTATTTCTCTCGGCAACCCTGAAGCCAACCCCTCGGCTCTTCTTTCCCGTCTGGAGATGCAGACCTAACCCAGAACAGCATCAACGGGGACACAATCCCTCTCCCTCCACCCAAGGCCCGCCGTGACGAGGACGACGCCATCTTGGAAGATTGGCCGTGGGTTGACGCCCCCATAAAGATGGACTACGGTTACAACGTGAAGTACGCATCTGCCCCATCGGAACCTGTCTCGTGTCTCGTCTTACCGTCTGCAGATTCGGCCAAAACGTCTATGTCAACTCTAACAGTACATGGATCGACACCTGTACCATCACAGTCGGTTCGCGTACCCTGATTGGCCCCAACTGCTCTTTCTACAGCGGCACACATCCGCTCGATCCCACGCTCCGCAACGGCACCCGCGGGCCGGAGAGCGGGAAGCCCATCACCATCGGCGACGATTGCTGGATCGGTGGAAACGTCATCGTGCTGCCGGGCGTGACCATCGGAAAGGGTGTGACAGTCGGGGCGGGAAGCGTCGTGACCAAGGACGTGCCGGATTACGTCGTCGTCGTTGGCAACCCGGCGCGTATCGTTAAGGAGATTACGCCGTCGAAGCCGACGAACGGCGCGGTAAATGGGTTATCGGCCACCATCAATTATAGCGCTAATATGTAGTCTTAATGCCTTTACGCGTTTGTTCAACATGTCCGTTCGTGTTTGTGTGTATGTTCAAAGACCGCCCTGAATGGAAAAGGACGAGATGATGAGGACGAGGACGTTGATAACGCCCCAGAGAAGGGGGACCCATGTGGACATCGAGAAGTAGCCGGCGTTGTAGACTGCACCGAGACTGCAAAGCCGTGGGTTAGCTACGCTGTGTCGTCGACGGAACATTGCTTGCACTTACATCAACCCGACAACGCTCCCAGCACACAACGCCTGCACGCCCGCCACGAAGGCGTAGAACAACGGCACCGCCCATAGATAGGTCAGCGACCCGCGCTTGTTTGTGTGCATCGCGATCGTAATGGCGGCAGCGCCCATGTGCACCGCGGCGTAGATGATGAAGGTCCATATCACCGTGAAGCGCCAGATGTCGCGGATGTAGAAGAGGCTCCAGCGGTGGTCGTCCGTGAGGTCCCGCAGTTGCCAGTTGATGCTCGGGAACGACGGAACCTTATAGTTCGTCGGTGGGTAGTTTTGCGCGCGAGAAGACATTGCTGAACGGCGGCCCTGGGGCTCGACGGGGGAAAGAAGACGAGATGTTGAAAGTCGGTGGGTTTGGTGAGCTTTGGAGGCGCAGTGATTGCAGCTGCTGATCGTCACTACCGGGGTTGGCTGTGGGATGTTGCAGGGATGGCGCAGCTTTGGGGGAAGCTTGAGGTGTGGCTTTAGGGGCACTTCAGGTGCCTCGGCAAAAACGCCCGCGCCAGTCCCGACGTCCTGCCATCGGCATCGGCACCGTTGATTACAACCACCGCGACCCAACAACGGCTGCTTCCGCTGTTCCTCCCATTCAATCTCATCCCGACAGTCACCCCAGGCTCTGGTCAGCCGACGCGATCGCAGCTCACGATGCCGGCCGACAGACTCCTCAACACGGTTCTGCAACTGTATCAAAACGTCCACGATGATCGCAAGACGGACCAGATAGTGGGTTCCACGACGACCCTCCTGACGACCCTCTCGAACCCGCTGAACCTCGGCGTCCTTACCTCCCAGCTTCTCACCGCGCCTGCGATTTGGCAACGTCGCGACGGCCTACGGACGAGCTTGCGCATCATCAGCATCTACAACAGCGCCGCGATACGAGTGCGACAGAACGAGATCGATAACGCCAAAAATGTCCACGGCCCGCGGCAGGGCGGGGGCCTCGGTTGCGACACATGGGTGCGCGCCGTTGCCAAGGGCGCGGACGATCGGTCCAATCGGTGGCAGCATCTCCTGATTTTGACAGGCGTCTTGATGGGGATGGAGGCGAATGATAGACAATCTCTATCGAGGGGCTTGCGGAATACACTGGAGGAAGCCGTTGTCACGGCTGCAAACCTCGCTTTGGAACGTCAGGACGGGCCGTTCGCCTCGGCCTCGGTCGTTCTGGCGCTCAACTACGTGTTCCCGTTCCTTTCCGACTTCCACCAAAGCGTGATTAATTGCAACGCGCTTCTGCCGATTGCGGTATTGGCTATCACCGGGGATGACGGCTTCCAGGATGGCCGGTTCTTGGATGATATCCGCAAGGACGTCAAGCAGTACGGACAAATGGTCGCTTGGCCTCCCACCTCTCCGTCGTTTGCGCTGCTGCAGACCATCGAGGGCAAGCCCCTGATGGGCGGCATGGGACCGTTGTCCAAGCTGGCAGGTTTCGCTGCCACCAATGCGACTGACTCAGCAGTCGTACTCGACGCTCAAGATGCTTTGATGGAGTTCACACAAAAGATGCTGCGGTACTGGCAGCACAATCCGCTATCGACGGTTGACGGCGCCGAAGAGACGGCGCGGTTGGAGCAGAATACGCTGGAGGCGACGTGGCCGGCTTTGTGGCAGTTGCTGAAGAAGACGATGTATGCGACGGTTGCCGTTATGCAAGCCGTCGTCGGCCGGAGTCTTCTTGACCCGCGCATGAGAAACGACGCGATCGCCCCCCAGGTGGCGACCAAGGCGTTGTTCACCCTGAGGAACTTATTCTTCATCTCTTCACGACAAGGAGCCAACGCTTTCCAGGCTTACCAGTTCACCTACCTGACAAGTCTGGATATCCTCGCACGCTTCCCAGACGCTTGCGTTGCGTTCTTGGAAGAGACCAAGCCGCCTCATGCTGGGACGGTCCCTCCCAGCTTCTATGACAGGACTCTGGACCTTTTCTACTTGAACGTGGCGGAGCACTTGCCTCTCAACATGCCCACAGAGGCGTGTGACGCTTTGATTGTCCGCCCTGCAACGGCCTACCTCACCCATACCGGCGGCCTGACGTCCACAATGGTTGAGCTTTTCGAATCCGCCCACAGCGCTACGCTGTCTGTGCTGTCTTGCCCTCACAACAGCTCGCTGACGGTCGGCCTCGTTCCATTCTACGTCGACGCCCTGTTCGCATCCTTCCCGGCGCAGATCTCAACACGCCAGTTCCGTGTGGCCTTCAAGACGGTCATGCAGATCGTCTCCCCGCCGTTCCCCATCTCCCTCGCTGAGCCGCAGCTTTCCGAAACCCTCCTGGAAATGGTCCGCTTCAAGGCCATGGACGCGGACACCGCCCCTCTCCCCCTGACACAGGACGTTATCAACCAGGCCGAGAAGGGGCTTTCGCCTCAGGACCCCATGTCAGAACAGAGCTCGCTTGTCTTGACGCTCATCGACTCCTTACCATTCCTGCCTCTGCCCCTGGTCAAGGACTGGTTGACGTTGACCGCGCAGTCGATGAATGAGATTGCCGACCCCGTCCTGCGTCAGCCTGTCAAGGACCGCTTCTGGGAGGTGCTCGTCAGCGGCGAGATGGACGTCGAGAGGGCTACTATCGGTGTCGCTTGGTGGACTACCAAGGGTGGACGTAGGTTGGTCCTGGGTGAGCAGATGGCCCCTGTGATGAGCGGTGCGATAATGGATGAGGGGAGGTCCAGTAGACTATAAGATGATAAGGGCGGTTGTCGTTGTATGGGGTATGATGGTAATGTGTAAGCGTTTTATCTTTCTTGGGTACTTTTGGGTGCATGGATATATCCAACATGCATTGATGCATGCCGATTATGTTCCTTGCTTTTCTTTCCAGCCCGTGACATCGATATCCGTTGATGATTCGTAGGTTACTGTAGAGGCTCCCCGCAAAAGGGAAGAGCCACCTACTTCAAGTTCACCCAGAATGTAGGCATTTGGCAGTCCCAACCACTGTACGCAGCAAGAAATCTCAAATTCCGGTGCAGGTGCATAAAACGGTCGGTATAAACATGCTGAGGAACCTGGCAGCCTCTTCCACTGTGATTCGCCAGGGGTGTGATGCTCAGCCGCACAATGCTGGCGGCAAGACGAGATCCCCTGCTACCCTACAACCAACGGTCCGATAAGGGGGCGACCATCAACCTTCACGTTCCCCCCTCACCTCCGGTAATCAGTATGTCATTTCAAAGTCCTTGCTCACCACTTCCAACGTTTCAAAAGTCTAACTGTGTCGCAGAGTTCTCATATCGCTAAATGGCCGATCGGACGATTTGAGGATAGAGTTGGACAATCGAAAAGATGGCACAGAAATGGAGACACGATGACTACAAGGTGGCATGGATCTGTCCGCTAGAGGTGGAACAGATCGCTGCATTGGAAATGCTGGATGATGAACATCCCGCCCTGCCAAAATCCCCAGCGGACCATAACGTTTACAGTCTGGGGTCCATCAACGGCCACAACATCGTCATCGCTGGCTTATACGAACCTGGGAACTGTCCCGCGGCTACGGTCGTAGCACAAATGAGGATGACGTTTCCTAGTCTCAGGTACGGTCTCCTGGTTGGTATCGGTGGTGGAGTTCCAGTCGAAACAGATAACGGAATAATACGCCTAGGTCATGTTGTGGTGAGCAAGCCTACGGCTGGCCATTCAGGCGCTCTACAGTATGATCATGGGAAAGCGAGGGATGGCCAATTCCAACGCATAGGGGCCCTAGCACCGCCGCCGGCAGTTCTTCTTAATGCCGCGCAGGATTTAGAGGCAAAACGAGCAAGACTGGATATCGACCCGGTGCAGCAGAACGTCAGCCGGATTAACACAAGGCGTCGTGGCCTGCGACGGTTCCAGTATCCCGGTATGATGAACGATTATCTCTACCCGCCACAATACGCCCATACGACACAGGGAGAGCCTTGTACAGTCGTATGCGACCCATCGAAGCGCATAGCCAGAGCAAGTGACGACGACGAGACGTACGTAATAGTTCATAGAGGCAACATTGCATCTGGGGAGCTGGTGGTGAAGGATGCAAGGCTAAGAGACGCGCTCGCTCAACAACATGAGCTTTTGTGCTTTGAGATGGAAGGCGCGGGAGCGATCGCCGACTTTCCTTGTCTTATCGTCCGCGGTATCTCTGATTACTGTGATTCGCATAAGAATGATAAGTGGCACGGGTATGCGGCCGCTGCGGCAGCTGCGTATGCTCGACAGCTCTTCTTTCACTTGCCGGTGGATGAGGTGCAGCGGTGAGAATTTCCCTCTCATGGTTCAATTGCCCGCCAGTCTTCAGAAATTAATTAGAACCTATGCAGACCACCCATTAATTCAACCCATACGTACAATCTCTCCTTTAAGTTGCAAGGAGTCAACAGCGTAAACAACTTCGTCGCCAGACAAGCAGAGCTTGGACGCCTGCATGAGGCGTTGAAGTGGACTGGGAATCGTCGGACCGTTGTTTTGCATGGCCTGGGCGGTATGGGGAAGACCCAGACGACGATAGCGTACGCGAAACAACATCGACATGATTACTCCGCGGTGATCTGGTTTGACGCAAGCAACGAGACTGCCCTGAGGCAGAGTTACCAACGAGCAGCCCAACGAATTGCGAGCGGGAACGCGTCCGTCATGTACGTCCAGAACGCCGTAAACAGCAGAGACCTCGATGAGACGGTGGCGGCAGTTAAACGGTGGCTGGAGGACCCAAAGAATAATCGATGGCTTTTGGTCTACGACAATTATGACGACGTCGAGTTCCGTACACAAGACAGCTCGAAACAGACTACGCGATGCGTTGTGACGGACACGGAGTCTAATGTTCGCGGGACAGTCTCGAAAGCATACGACATACGTCCTTATTTCCCAGAGACTGAACATGGCGCCATTTCAATTACGACACGGTCATCTTCTGTAGGCCGACTCGGACAAAGTATCCAGCTTGAGAAGCTATGCGACATCCAGGAAAGTATAGAAATACTGGCATCGACCTCCGGGCGCGTTGATTTTTCCAAGGGTAAGAAACTAGCTCCATGGCCGTACTTGAGCTAAAAGATGCGGCAGATCCGGGTTCCAAGCTACTTGCACAAAAGCTTGATGGCCTTCCACTCGCCCTCGCAACAGCTGGAGCCTATCTGAGCAAAGTTTCAACTAGCTCTACGGAATATGTTCAAATGTACGAGATAAGTTGGCTGCAATTGCAGGAGCAGAGTCCACACCTGCTAGAGTACGATCGAGCATTGTACTCTACTTGGAATGTCTCTCTCCGACATATTCAGTTGCAGAACCAATACGCCGTTAAGCTCCTTCGACTATGGGGACATTTTGACAACTACGACCTATGGTACGAACTGCTGCAGGCAGGCAGACTGAAGAAGCCAGCTTGGCTTCATGAGATTACTAAAGACAGGCCAAGTTTCGACGCAGCAATGAGAGTTCTCTGTGAATATGGTCTAGCAGAGCCGAACGCATATAGCCAAGCAGACTGGAGACCGGAATCGAGAGGATATAGTATGCATCAATGTGTTCATGCATGGGTGGTCCACGTCCTCAACGCACAATCGAGCCGACGGCTGGAAAAGGCAGCGATACGATGCGTTCTATCACGCGTTCCGCATAACTGCGACACTCAGTACTGGTTAGTGCGACGAATCTTGCCGCATGCCGACCGAATGGTAGCGAAGATCGAAGGAGACCTAAAAGTCAGCCCATTGGTGTTCCATAGGTTTGGCAGGCTTTACCTTGTACAACGACGTTTTACAGAAGCCAATTCAATGATGGAACAGTTTCTTAGAGGCCTTGAGAAGCTGTGTCAAGACCATATACTACCACTCTCAGACGCCGTCTCTTTTTTAGGCAGACTCTACCTTGCACAAGATCGACTGGACGATGCAGAGGCCATGTTCAAGCGAGCTCTTCACATCCGTGAGAAGACATTGAGCTTAGACCACATTGGCATAGTCGCTGAACATCATCTTCTACGTGTTGTCTATTTCAAACGAGGGCAACTAGACGATGCCGAAGGATTGTGCGAACAAATGATCGAAATCCACGAGAAAGCACAAGAGCCAGACTATCTATCGACAACCTCGATGGCCAGTGATCTTGGAAGTCTATCGACAACCTCGATGGCCAGTGAGCTAGGCAGTCTCTTCATAAAACAAGGTCGACTGGAGTATGCAGAGACCATGTTAAGATTGGCTCTCCAAGGCTACGAGAAGGCAGTAGGCCTTGACGACCCAGACACACTCAGCTTCGTCTGTGACCTAGGCATTTTTTATACCAAAAGAGGCCAGCTAGAGGAGGCCATGACAATGTGCGAACGGGCTTTCGAAGGCTATCAGAAGGCGTTCGGGCCAGATCACCCGGATACACTCTCGGCTGTCCGCAGTATGGGCTCTGTCTACTATGAAGGAGGCCAGCTAAAGGATGCCCAGATAATGTACGAACGGGCCCTACAAGGCCTCCAGAATGCATTTGATCCAGGCCACCGGGACATACTCCTGACCTTACATTGTTTAGCCGTTGTCTTCGAAGATCAAGGCCAACTTGAAGACGCCAGAATGATGTGCGAACGCATTCTTCAAGCATACGACACGACGCTGAAGTCAAGTAGCTTAGAATTCTTTGTTCCGGCTTTAGATATGCTCCACAGTCTTGCAGGGTCATTTGAAGAGCAGGGCGAGGCATTTAAAGCTATGTCATGCTACCAACAGGCTCAAAAGGGGTTCTTAAATGTATTTGGACCAGATGACGATCAGTACATCGACATATGTTATCAGATTAGCTCGTTGCAGTCTTTGATGAAAGAGCTCACCATTTCCCCAGATGCAGCTTAGGCAAAAGGACAAGGGAGGTCGACTGCATGCGAAAGGTCGGGCCCTGGAGGATAGACAGATGGAGCAGATTTGAACCGCAGAAGCGTCCACAGACGTGTATAAGCAATAGCGATTATCGCGAAGCTTGAAGAAGGGTATGAATCCACTTTATAATAGGCCTCTTTCTTTTGGAATAATTTAAATTGGAAGCGGCTGCAGACTCTGTTTCGATATCGATAAGTCGCAAAATTCACTGTGTCATTGTCCGCAGTAACAAGACGGGGTTTGGAAACAATGAAGCACCTTTGGTCACTCACTGCACGTGTTTTGTTTGTTTTCCTTGGTGCACGTAGTAGGTCCAGGAACATGTATAGGACAGCTTCGTATCAGACGACAATTTGTCACATTAGAATGCTAGGTCGCCGCAAGACTAAGACTCTTCTTGCCCGCCCTATGTAATGACTTTCATCCGCCAGTAGCTCATCCCGACGAATCCAAGGCACGCGAATGATGAAAGATTCACTATGACTGGGATGTTTCACGTATATCTGCGAGCCCTGAGTACGTAGACTGCGAAGCTACGAAACTTGGCACTGACCGGAGTGCTTTGACTGCTTTATCTTATTGTGAAAACCCCTACTGGGTGGGCTTAAAACTTCCTTAACATACATACCTGCGAGACCGTCACAAATACATGTAGGCGAATCACATCTGGCCACAGCGACGCACTCATGTATCACGGCTGACAGCCGAAAACGACATAACTTTTGGTCATCATGTTATATTAAACTCGCTAGGCCAAGCTAATAAGACGAAACATCCCACAGCGTGGAGAAAACATTAAAAAACTGAAGGCTTAGTAGTCGTCGTTGCCGTATCCCTTGGCCTCCCTCTTCTCCTGTCCCTTGCTCTCGAGCTTGTCGCTGTTGAGGAGGCTGCCCGCCTTCTCGAGCACCTTGCCGAGCTTGCTGTCGCCGCCCTTGTTGCTGCTGCCGTAGCTGTCATCGTTGTCACGACGAGAAGAGCCGTAGCTGTTGTCGTTGTCGTTGTCGTTGCGGCTGGAGCCGTAAGAGTCGTTGCCGCCGACACGGCCTGACGATCCGTAGGAATCGTCGTTGCGACCCGTGGAGCCGTATGACTCTGAAGTGTTGTTGTTGTTGCGACCGGAGCCATAGGAGTCGGAGGTATCGTTGTTGCGGCCGGAGCCGTATGAGTCTGTGTTGGAAGACCCAAAGGAAGAGTCATTGTTCTTGCGGCCCGAGGAACCGTAGCTGTCGTTGTTGCTGTCGTTGTCGTAGGTGCGGCCCTTGTTCTCGGAGGCGTTGTAGGAGAGGGAGTCGGCGCCGGCGAGGTTGGAGGAGGTTGACTCGCCAAAGGCGGAGCTCTTTACGCCTGAAGAGCCGTAGGAGTCGTTGTCCTTGCGGGAGGAGCCGTAGCTGTCGTCATTGCGGGACGAACCGTAAGAGTCGGTGTTGGAAGAGCCGTAAGAGGACTCGTTGTTCTTGCGGCCGGACGAACCATAGCTGTCGTCGTTGTCACGACGAGATGAGCCATAGCTGTCATCGTTGCGAGAAGAGCCGTAGGAGTCGTTGTTGGAGGATCCGTACGAGGAGTCGTTGTTGCGGCCGGATGAGCCGTACGAGTCGTCGTTGTCACGGCGGGAGGAGCCGTAAGAGTCGTTGTCGTTGCGAGAGGAGCCGAAGCCGGAGCCAGTGTTGGAGCCGTAGCTGTCCTCGTTCCTACTGGAACCGTAAGACTGGAAATGTGTTAGTGACGGGTACCTTGAACTGTAAGGCTGAGGTGGAACTCACGTCGTCGTTTCCACCGTAAGACATGATTGCTGTTTTGTTTAGAGGAAGGGATGGGTTGTAGGTTGGTTCAGATGATTATGGGATGATGCGGACCTACATCCAAGAGACGAGGGGCTCAAGGGGTATTTAACGGCCATCACACCTGCAGCATGATGCCAGTGACAACGGTCTCACTCTCACATGTGCGCTTGGCAGGAACCTGGACCCTCCCGATCGACAAGGCGGTGGCCCATCGGACGTGTGTGTCTAGGGGCCGCTAGGAAACGCATGTTTACGACATTTCTGGGAGGCCCTACGTGCTCGGGGAATGATGGGATGGATGGGACGTTGAAGCTTGATTTGGGGAGGTCACTGCCTTGCCTAGCTGAACCTGTTGGAGGCACAGAAGCAGGTTCGTGATACGCGCCACTTGGCAAGCGCGATTTAGGATGAGGAGAGCTTGTTTGGGGAAGCCCTAGGCTCTTCTCGGTCTGGTCTGGCGAAGCACATCCGATAGTGTAATTGTCCTGTGCAGCTCAGCTTGGTATGGGAGGGGGGCAAGCAGGGACATGAGAGCTGGCGATGGGGACCACAGACTGGGACCCTGATCGGCGGGAATGATGAAGACTCGGAAAGACGGAATGTATTCCCAGCTTGCCGTCGGGGGCCCCTCGGCGACATGTCAGACGTACGGCATACTCAATTGCCAAAGCAAAACAAGGCAGCGGTTTTCCCTATCGTCAATTAAAGATATTACAGAATTGAGGGCGACACCAGCGCGGATGTCATGACGGACTGACGTCCGATCCACCCACATGGCGTCATACCGGAGACCATTGCGCAGGCCTCCCCGAGATGGTGGGATGGAGAACTGGTTGGACGCTGCCCAGCAGGTAGGTGCAGGTGGTGGAGGGATATGTCATTGCGGCAGAGACAGCCAAGAGCTGAGGTTCTGGGACCGAGTGCCCGCACTAAGGCAATGGCTGCATGTCCTAGTGAACGTCGTTGTCGTTTACCCCGCCATGAAGAGGAAGAGACGGAGGGACCTTTTTCTCTGGGAGGTGGCAGATTTCTCGCGAATCGTTGGTCCCACGTTCTTGGGTCCCCTGTCTTCCTGGGAGGCCGCTGTCTTGAGGACGGCACTGGCGGTTACGTAATCAGCTACAGGGCACCTACCTGGCGCTAAGGTCCCTTTCCGTTGGTCTGGTGGGTTCTTCTTGACACCTTCCAGCTTGACAGGGATGCTGCGGCGCGAATACGTGTATTCGGTAAAGCTCAGAGACAATTTCCAACGACTAGCTGAGATGAACCATCCCGCGTCCAATCAAGCTTCCTTTCGAGATGGGAGGTGATGCTAAGCTTCAGGGTCTTGCACTGCCACCCATGCCTGGATAGTTCCGTCGACCGAAGCTGGACCGGTTCTTGGCGATGGATTCTCTCCTTCACCACTCGTTCGGTGTCTTTGTGATCTGTTGGTCTGTCAATGGAGCCGGCGCCAGAGCCAGCCTTGATCGAGGATGAATATGACAACACCCTTGCCTGAATCTCGCGTTGCCAAGTATCACCAGATCCGGCATCACAAAAAGTCCAGGCGAGGATGTCTTGAATGCAAGACGAGGCGTGTAAAGGCACGTTGCCCTCGCATCGCAACTAGGCGAGCAGCAACAAATCACTAACACGTTGTCCGTAGTGTGACGAGAAGAAGCCGACATGTTCAGCATGCGCAAGGCGAGAGACACGATGCCACTACGTGGAGCCAGGCCTCCGAAGGCCCCCTGGGCAGGAGAAGTCCGGCACTGGCAGTCCTCAGACAGACACCGACGACGCATCTGCCAACCATCGCCAGCCGTCACCAAGCTACGAAAGCATCTACACTCCCGAACACTTGCTGCATCTTCGCCTCCTGCACCACTACAACACCTGCACGGTACAGTCCTTTACCGACGCCTTCCAGCTCGAGGGCTTCAAGTCGGAGGTCCTCCGTCTTGAGGTCCCGAGCCTGGCTCTCCAGCACCACTACCTCATGGACGCCCTTCTCTCCGTGACCCTCCTTCACCTGGCCAGCACGGATCCGTCCACTGACCTCCCCGTCACCAAGTATCGAGATCGCGCGGTGAGGCAGCTTCGGCAGCAAGTCGAGCAGGTATCGGAAGACAACGCCCGCCCCGTTTTTATGGCTTCACTTTTGTTGTCCGTGACTGCCCTCGCAGCTGATCGGCACACAGGCTACGATGGAATCTGGCTTACGAACTGGCTTGCGATGGCCATCGGGCCGCGGATGATGATCGATGGGCTCAGAAAACAAGTGTCGCTCCGCCCTACGCCGCAGAGGAGTATACCGCTCGAGCACGCCGCCCCCGTGGCGATTCCACTGGATCTGGAAGATGCCCTGCGGATGGACGAGGATGACGAGGACTGGGAGTTTCGCGAAGACCTCCAACGTGCGGCAACCGGGATCGGAAAGCTGTTTGGCTCGTTGGCATGCCCAACTTGCGACGGCTGTGTGGCATTCAAGATCAGGGCGTGGCCATTCTCGTTCGTCTCGTCGAGGTTTGTGGACATGGCCCGTCAACTGAGGCCCAGGGCTCTGACGGTGATGAGTTACTACCTGCCCTTCTTCCATTGGTTTCCCAGAGTTTGGCTTTACGAGGACGTGGCTGTCCAGGAGATGGAGAGGATTGCTTTAGCGGTCGGGAGTGAGTGGGCTACGCCTTTGGCTGCACCAAAGGTTGCTGTTAGAGTCAAGGATACGAGCCTCCTGAAGGAGTACCTTCTTGGGCTAGTGTCCCGTGAATGTCTTCGAGACGAGAGTGCTTTTGAAGGATTTGTTTGATTATAGTTTGTAGAACCGAGCAATCGGGAAACAAAAGAAAGGTATGTATTATCTAATGTTCAGGTGTACCCCTGATTCTAACGTGGGCGGTTCAAAAACAGAAACCGAGGAGACTTCTAGATACGGCTACTAGTCATACAGCCCAAGCTTGCTCGCATATATGGTCATGGCGGGGTACTGTATTCACAGCACACCTCCCAAGAACATCAACCATCCATATCCTGCATGGCCATAATCTCCTTTTTGCCCGGCACATACTTAGCGGGGTGGAAGACCGCCGTAACAGCCACGACACCGAGCATCAGCAGCGCGTCAAAAATGTACAAATACACCTCCGTCGAGAGTAGGACGCCATCATTTCCTTCGACATACTCGACGAGTCGAAACAGCGATCTCACGAAAATCAGACCGCTCGCGACGTAGAGCACGCTCATCACACCCCCCCATCCTCTGATGTGCCTCTGCCAACCCGAGTTGGCCTCTTCGTGCAGGACAGCGGGCGGCACACGGTCCAGGAGCCGACGATGGAACACGGCGGCTGCCACGACGAAGAGACCAAAGAAGATGAGCTGGACGGCCAGGCCGAGCAGGATGATGGTCTTGCCCGTGTTCATCGACTTTGCCTGGGCGAGCAGACCGGCACCCATGACCTGGACAAGGAAGGAGAGCACGTCGCCGACAACGAATATCTTTGTGAGGCGCGAGGGCTTGATCGGGGAGAGGGGCGCGCATTGGAGGTAGAGGATCAGCCGGCCGAGTACCATGTAGATCGAGGCGGCGAAGAGGGCGGGGGCGACGAGGAGGCAGAGGGTTTGGATCATGAAGAAGCCAAGGTTGCCCGTATCGGTGGAGGAGAGGAAGCGGCCAAGGTATCCGGCGATCTCGACTGATGGAAATCTTTGTCAGTGGTGATGTGAGGTTGTGTGGCTAGTATGGGACAACGTACGGAGACAGCCAATGATCAATGGGATAAAGTACCATGCCCGCCGGCGGACGATAATGAATACGTGCCATGCGCACCCGACGACAAAGCCAACCAAGAAGATCATGGCAGCTGCCCCTGAGGGAGAGTACTTGTAGAGGTTGTAGGATGCCATTGTCGGGTTCCGGCGGGAGGAGGACTGGCGTGTAAGTGAGGTTGAGACGACGAAGGCGAGGTGTAAAGACTGGATGATTTGAATCTATAGACTTACTCTTGGAAGCACAAAAAAGAAAAGCAGCGTTATATACAAATATTCCATTCGAGATTTCTTCACCCTATCCTACAAGTTCCACTGCATCTCTCCCTATCTCGTCAAGCAGCACCATCTCGCATCTCGCACTTCGCATTTCGCACTTCGCATTTCACTATCGACACGGTGCAGTCGCTCAATTACACACACATCCCACGCTCCTCATCGGCCCTTTCCGCCCCACCACGGAGCATTCCATTGCATTACACCACAAACGGGGAGGCCATGTTTGGAAAAAAGCCCAGTCTGAAGGATGGGGGCCAGTCTCTACAGCAGAACCCATCCTGTACGCACGAGATTGTGTTGTGGGGAGAGGCTCTACGCTCTCCCGGTGTAAAGACCCCCGATACAGCGTATCAGGACGTCCAGTACGCCTAGTGAGTCCCTGTACGCTAGCAAACTCAGCCCCTCCGGTGCCCGGGGTTCATCTGAAGTCCCGGGCTTGCCCTGCGCCGCATTGGACTTTGGCATGTAAACTTCTGCCCACATTTTCAAGGCGTCGCCTCAGACCTCGCTTTCGCATTTCAAGACCGAGAGCTGAAAGCATGATCCTTTTTCTCCCACTTCATCACCTCATCCTCACCCCCTGATATCTCACACGTTGAGCAATGATGATAATATAAGCAAGAACACGCTGTCGAAGGAGAACTGACACATACCGGCTGTACGGCACACACACCACACACATACGACTCATATACGGCACCTGAATATGAACCGCCGGGCTCACAAAAAGTCGAGGAACGGCTGCGTTGAGTGTAAACGCAGGCACATCAAGGTGAGGATTCTCATGAGTTTACCTCACAACAGCCTACTAAATAAAGCTTCGCCTTTACTGACATGAACAACTCAGTGCGATGAGACCCGCCCCAAGTGTAAAAACTGCACCATCATCGAGCGGGAATGCGTATACCGGACGCCGCCCCCAGCGGCTGTGCCCGCAGCAGCCCCCGCGGTAGCACCCGGGATCGGCGGCGCTGAGGGTGGTGCCGAAACTTTGCATTCGGGTCCGAGTACGCCGTCTAATACTGCCGGATGCTCTTCTTTCGCCGACGGCTCCTCCGGGACGCCGGCTCATCAGCAGCAGCAGCAGCAGGGCGTGTCGCCCCTCGCGTTCCCGGACCCCTCCGTCATCCGCTCCGGGCCGCAGGTCAACATGGACCACATGGAGCTCCTCCTCACCTTCAAGCTCGAGCTCATCATCCCGGAACTCGACGAACACCTCCGCGAGTGGGGCAGCCAGATCACGCTCAAGGCCGGCGTCGACGCCCCCTACCTCATGCACGAGATCCTCTCCGTCTCGGCGCTGTACCTCTCCCGCGCCAGGCCCGACCGGAAACAGTACTACACGGAGCAGGCCGTCCAGCTGCAGATGGAGGCCATCTCCCTCTTCAACTCTTCCATGACCAGCAGCTTCGACATTGACGACTCCAACTGCGTGCCCATCACCATGTTCACCTCCCTTCTCGGGCGCCACCTCTGCATCGACGCCCTCGCCACCCCCGCCGCCGCCGGCCTCGACGCCTTCCTCGACAGCTACCTCAACTTCGCCCGCCTCCGCCAGCGCGGCGCCCACGTCATCCGCAGCGCCCGCGCCGCCCTCGAGAGCTCCGAGCTGCGGCCCTTCCTGACATGGGGTCCGGGCCTGCAGGACCTCATCGGGGAGGGCCACGCCTGCGACGGCCTGCAGGACCTGATCTCCGCGGCGACGACCCTGGACGCAACCTCCGCCGCCGCGTGCAGGCGCGCCGCGGAGCTGATCCAGGTGTCCTTCGACAGCTGGGAGGACCGCGGCAGCGTCCCCGGGCAGCAGCGCATGGTGCAGATGATCTTCACGTGGGCGTTCCTCGTGCCGGAGGAGTTCGTCGCGATGCTGAGCGGCCGCCGCGCCGAGGCCGTCGCCGTGCTGGGGTACCACGCCGTCATCCTCCACTTCGCGCGGGACATGTGGCAGATTGGCGCCGCCGGCGCGCAGCTGCTGACCGCGGTGGGGGAGCACCTCGGCCCCGGCTGGGAGGAGTGGCTCGCGTGGCCGCGCAGCGTTGTCTTTGGGCAGACTTGAAGAAGCGTCATAGTTTTGGGGAGAAAATTCCCCAGTGTATATTTGGCATCAAACACTGCCGGTGGAGAAGCTCGTGCATAGGGCCCAATGAGCTGGTCCTTTGGTGACGCCGGGCTCCTGACGGTCCTGGGAAAATAGCGATGCATCCAAGATGCCTCCCATGACTGTTGGCATGCCCTTGCCCAGCTCTAGGCCCGAACGCGATGGGAGGACCATTTCGAAGTACTCTAGGCCTCGCCCTAGTCAGGCTGAAGTGAGGTGCCCGCGGTGATGGCCAAGTTGCTGACAATGACCAAAAGAGCACTCAACGGTGGCGGCGGCACATCAACAGCTGATGGTACGGGTTGCGGACGACGATTAACTCGGCTTTGAAACAAAGTCGTAGCTGGTGAAAGCGCAGCATCTGTCACGTTCGGCAGCCCAGACAAGAGTATGGTTTGATGGGCAGAAATGTCAAGGCCTATCCGTGGTAAAGCGACCAAGCTAATACGGCAACAACGCCGTATGTCGATCAAGGTGCCGACGGCTGGCGTAAGGGGTTGAAAACTCCTATCTATGAGCGTATTATTAGCCATGTTACCAGCAAGAAGACGAGTTGGTCACGCTTCGCTTAGAAAAACCACACCGCTTTCTCGATATCATACATCGGAGCTTCCGATAGTTCTCTGTTGATAGACTTCAGAGATCTTACGAGGAGGAAGAAAATATGATTTTAACGCTCCATGCTACGCTAAAGACTATCCCTGAATGATACTCAAACCGGTAATGGCTCAATTTAGTACACCTTCTTGGTGATCCTCACAAGGATTACACTCTCTGTCAACTTGCCGTCACAATCCATGAGATGAACGAAGCGGAATCCGCCCCTCAAACGGTCAAGTCTCACAGCCGCCCACGCAGCCAAGTCGTCCCGTCCGATCTCGTCGTCTCTAACGGTGAACCTCACAAATGTCAACTCCTCCACGACGCCTGGCACGCCCGTGAACTTGAGCTCTTCGCCCTTGAAATCGGGGTCGATGCCCTTGTTGGACTTGGTCTTGGCCTTGTACTCGCCCTCCTGCTCGTGGCCGTCGTTCTTGATGTGCGCGCCGGGCAGGCGTTCCTCGGGGGATTCGACGTGGATCTCGACCTTGACGTACGGCTTGAAGCCGGAGACCTTGGTGTCGCCAGGAGGAAGAGGAAGGTTTTGGGCAGCCAGGACGTCGATTTGGAGGTCCAGGGTCTTGTATGCGATCTGCGGCACGTCTTTTGCCGCGTCGGGGGCAGGTGGTGGTGAGCCGGCCTTGATACAGCGGTAGCCTGTTCTCTTCATCAGCACAATATCACACTACTAGAAAAGAGGAGACTCACCCTCGGGTTTCAAAACATAACCAGACGTGCCCGCGAACATGGCCTCATTGAGCATCATCCCCTCGTCCCAATTCTGCCAGTTGAGCGCAACAATCTGAATGCCCCTGCGCCAAAAGACAGGAGCGTCTAGGTTGGAGGACCCGATACGCAGGCCAGAAGGATAAGCCCTCATCAGGTAGTGCCTGTTGTGATGGAATAGAATTTCGGGCTGCTTCTCGTGGACCTCCATAACGCCCTTCTCCGACAGCGAGAAAATGTGCGTTGGCATCGACGCCTCAGGCTGCGTGAGTGACTTGAACGAGACACCCCGTGTGTAGATGCCCAGCCTGCTCAGCGCCTGAATTATCTTGGATTTTTTCTTGTTCGCGGCGGCAGCCTTCTGGTGAGGGGCTTCACCAGCTGCCGCGTCGTCACCCTCATCTGATTCCACAGCGTCACCCGTCGGCGGTGCGTACTTCACCTTTACCAAAATCTTGCCCTTTAGGTCCGCCGGTTGTGGCAGTTCTGCAGCGTCGACGTCAGGTGTCGGTATCAACATGTCCGTCCAGCAGTCCTGCATAATCTTCACCATGACCTCCTGTTGTTGTGCGCTACAGTGAACCTCCAGGCTGACAATCAGGGGCGTGTCCGACGCGACAAAGCCATAATCGCGAATGGTTTCGCAAACGTGGCGGAAGGGGACCTCCTTGGTGAGCGTGTATCCGTGGAATACTTGAGGCTCGATGCCGTATGGCCTAGGCGACGGCGTCTTCACCAACTCAACCTCCTGCCCTTCAGCGGGCGGGCTTGTCGTAGTCGTTGCATCCGTTCCCGGCTTCGTAGTCGTTGCGTCTGTTGCCGGCTTCGCGGTCGTTGCATCCGCTGCCGACTTCGTTGCGGTTGCCGCCGCCGCCGCCGCCGCAGGCGGGCTCGTGCCCTCCTTCTTCTCGATCCTCTCATCCATCTTCTTGCCCAGGGACGTCTTCTCAAGTCTGCTGGACAGCGAACTCGGCATCTTATCCTTGAGCCTCGACAGCCGGCTCTTCTTCACCTTGGTCCCAGCAGCAACCTCCTCATCGCTGCTGCTGACCGAGGTGCCATCCTCGTTGTCGGAATCGTCGCCGTCCCAGACGTCAATCTCGATGCATCGGCATCCTCTCAGCAATACGTTCTTGTAGGCATGCGTGCTCGATTCACTATACAGTTGGTTTCCGGTAAGATATGTGTTGTGGCTGGAACTGATGAAGTAGCTCGACAGGGGGTAGGTCAGGTCCGTCTCTACAGCAGGGCGTGTGATGGCGGAGTGAGAAGAGGTCATGTAGTCCAGGAAACCATTGAAATCCAGCTCCTTGTCCGAGACGCCCTCGATCGCCTTGAGATGCTCAAGGGCTTCCTCGTCGGCTTGGACGTTCTTGACAAACGATGCGATCTGCTCCTTGTGCCATTTCTGATCGTCCTTGCTGGCGTGGACATTGAAGATCTTGGTGAGGTGAGGCAGGATAGATTCGTTGAGTGACTTGACGGTGCGGTGATGTTCGCTGGCGCCGCCGCCTGCCTGGGGCGTGGAGGTGCCCGTTCCCGTCGGAGACACCGTTGGTTGGGTCGTGGTTGCGGTTGCGGTTGCTGCTGCTGCGTCCGCCATGGCTAGTGTCGATGTTGAAGGAGCAAAAAGAGGCGGTGAGGTTGGCGATGATGAGTGAAATATGTTGTAGGGTCTAGGGAGAGGACGGATATCGCAGGCAAGTGAGACGCCAGATGATGCAAGTAGGCTATGAGATACAGGACGCGTCTCGTATGCTGGTGTCAGTCAACCAGTAAGCGTGGTTGAGCCGCGTGGTCGACGTCAAAAAAGAGATCGTCTTGTTTTGTTTGAACCTGAGCCCGGTTTTTTTTTTTATAACATGTGGCAGTACGTCAACCCGCCAAGCAGCGATACGTGTGAGAAGAGGACAGAGGAATCTTGTTTCCCGACCCGCTCCTTTCGTAGTGCACAAATTGCAACCGAGCGACGATCCAGAAGGTGCTCAGCTGGGCAGCAAGGGTCACAGAGGGAAGGGTCGAAGCTGAGTGGTTCCTCATGTGAAGTGTCCCCCGGTGATGCTGCCCCCTCCCCTGAGCTGTCGGGGTCACGACGTGTGGTAATGGCGTCACAGGGTTCTGGCCTAGCCGATCTTTAGCGGTAACAGGCCCCCGGTCCAGCCCAGACCGCTGGGCTCTAGCTTCGTAGCTTCTCAGCTGGGCTCTGTCCTTTGGGGGCGATATTAATAGCGAATGGAAGCCCCTTATCGATAGCAACGACCTGGACACGATGGAACCCACGACCCCGCCAAACCCCTTCCTCTACCCCTCATTTTAGTGCCGGAATGTCGGTCTGGCATCCTTGCACCTGAAACCTCTGGTATCTCTCGGACCTGTGGTCGTCGTATGTGAAAGACGATTAGTTTTTTGGTGATAAGTTATTGTGATCACTATACAATAAGCATTTGACTCGTTCACTTTGGTCCGATGTTGAAATGGCGCCAAGGTCCCGGAACGGCTTCCCGAGCATGAACTTGCAAAGTACGAGGAACGGGCCGCACCCGCTGTGTGTGGGCCAAACTCATGCTCAACTCGCTATCATCCCGGCTCTCTCTTGTTCTCCATTTGATTTATTCATGTTCCCGGGATGCTATATCGAATGTCGTTTATTCGTAATGTATCGCTCATAAATGTCGTCAGGTCGTAAGGCGTGATAGTGACAGTATGTACATATCCATCCACCACAAGCCCCCTCGCCTCTGAATGTTAACATAATCGTACCAAGAAACTCACCCATTATTTCCATACTTCCTCCTCCTCTTTCCGACCCTCTTTCTCGTGGCCTTTCTGTGCATGTCCCTTTTTCTTCGCAGCTATTGCGCCGCCACCTCTCCTCTCACTTCTCTTACTGCTTCTGCTTCCTATTCACCAGTCAACTTCTCTCCCCAAAAAACTCCTCTCATGGCCGGATTGGCGATGTTACTGACGTCCACGTGTTGGCCTTGCTCATCGTCCGCTTCCTCATCATGGCCATGATGTCCGCCTCCATGTGCTCGATGTTCTTCTCCAGGTCGGCGTCCTCGACCGCAAACTTGCCTTCCCGCCGACGGTCGAACATGATCCATCCGACGACGATGACGACAGTCAGGGGTATCGTGATTGCAAAGTAGACCCAGAGCGATTTCGAGATGACGGGATCGGCGTCTTTGGCGAAATCAAAGAACGTCATGCTAAAGACCGAGGCCAGGAAGGTGCCCGGCAGGAACACCGCACCAAGCAGCGAGATCGTCTTCATCGCCGTGCTGTCCCTCTTGCTCGCGTGCGCCAGCCGCCTCTGCTCACCAGCCATCTGGAACTGAATCTTTGACTCTCGCTGGGAGAGCAAGTTGTACAACTGTCCCCGAGTCAGCACATCTTACCCGCTCTCCAGGGAGGCAGAACACATACCGCGCTTCGCTGGATATGGAGTCTCTCCAGCGTAGTCGCCTGGTAATTCTCGATGCCTTTTAACTTGATCTTGTAAAAGTCCAGCCGGGCGTTCATGCTACGGTGCAGCTTGTGCAGCTCTACCGTGAACTTTTCCATCGGCACTTTGTGCTTGAAAAGCGCCATCGCAGACTCGAGCTCCTTCACGACCTCCCGGTACGCCTGCGGCCGCTTCCACAAGACCTGGCTGTGGCACTCGACCAGGTCCCGGCTGATGGCGTCGACTTCGAGATATCCATCCTTGCTGACGTACCCCTCCTCGTCCTCGATCTCGTTGCGCATGCTGACGGCATGCTCCAGCCTGCGCAGCCAGTCTCGCGCATCGCGCTGCTTCTGGTCATTCTGCGACGACAGGTCGTGGGAGAGGATAATGACGGGGAGCAGCATCGGGTGGCCGACCTGCTTCGCGCAAAAGCTGAGGTGGCGGATCGCAGCCACAATGTCGGAGCTCGGGGTGCCCTTGACATAACCCGACGTGATGCCCGTCTTGAAACGGTGCGACAGCATGATCTCCCATCCTCGGGTTTTGCCCTTCTTTCGCACGTCGGACTTGCGAAAGATGATTTCTTGGGTTGAAAACGTCAGTGAAATATGCAATGAGGGCAAAAAAGAAAGAAAAAACTCACGAAGCGTCGGGTCGTCGTCTTCCTGGTCGTAGGCGGACCAGAAAAAGGGACCGACGACACTGGTCCCCTCAATCGCCCTGTAGGGCAGCCTCATGGCTCTTACCATGGACTCGTAAGCATCGGCCGTGAACGAGATTGTGTGAGGGGTGAAAGTGTCTTTGTGCTTGGCGTTCTTCTGAAGTCTGTTCCAAAGTCAGTCTCTCTTACCCCCAAGTCTCAATTGAGAGAGTTGCCAACACTAAACGAATGCCACTCATCAACTCGACTCCCTCCTTCACTTTCGGCGGCTCGAATGCACCCTGAAACAAACACAGCGTCAGCCCAACACAGCGCTCATCACGCGTTCCGGACAGTCTTGTAACTGGGCCCGGCATACTTACTCGTCGATACAGGAAGTTGTCAAACTCATCCATTGTCAGAGGATGCTCCTCGCACGAGTCGTAAAACGGATCCTGTTCAATTGGCTCAGTCTCAACACACACGATGTGTCTCCGGTCTCATCGTCAGATTTCTCCAGACTAGACAGCCTTGCTCTTACCGAATAATTGAGTATCTCAACATAGTGCGTCGCCTCGGTGACTTGGCGGCACTTGCTGACATGCTCGCGGAACATGTAGTCGTCCATCTTGAACCTTCGAATCCTCTCTCTCGATTGGCCGTTCAAAACAAACTCGCCAATCCCTCAAGAGACGAACAGAAAAGCCAATAAAACAAAACCACGGCTACGTCAAAGGAGTTAAGGGGAAAAGAGTTTTGTAGGTTCCTGCAGGTCGTTCATCATGGCTCCAGACGGACTCCTTTCATAAGCCGCGCCCAGCCCCGTGACTTTCCGCCATGTCTGCAGCACAAGCGGTCGGGGGAACGGGTCCAGTCCGGTCCATCATCCATGGATCCAATGCAATCTGCACCTCGAAGCCCCCCGGGCCCCTGCCAATTGGCCGGGAACACCACCCACAGCGCCCTCGCTCACTGGACGTCGCCCTTCCACAGCGGCCTCCGCAGGGGATTTCGGCGGGCTCCCAATGTCGCCTACGAAAAGCTTGTAGCGTCCCTCATGGACACCGTCCCGCTGCCCTGGCCACAATCCCCGCACTCCACCCTGTCACCGCCAGAACTAACCGTTGCTCCCTCTGCATTAATAGGCCCGGATAAGAACCCATTGGAGCTTGTTTGGACGCTTGGCTAACGGTTGCGTGGGGGTGTGTCCCCTCTCGTGCGGTGAATTGGAGCTGGGGCGTCGAGAATCCAACCCGGAGCACGAGAGAGACGCGCAAAGATGCAACTCAGCACGCACGTATCCCATGTCCGTCATCAGCGTGTGTTGCTTTGCGGTTAGTAACTTATGGTCACCAAATGCCGTGGCTAACCCATCTGGAGCTGTTCCTGCAGTGGTCTGATCCCGCAGCCCATGTAGTCAAAAGGTCTAGACCTCGTCCAAGTCCACCAAACACGACGTGGAAGATAATCGCTGTTAGGTATTGATGTATCCAAATAATACGGCGACGAGTCTCGTCTTGTTGCACTTTTCCATCTTCCAGGTCCTTTGAAGCCTCCAACCGACCCCCGTCATTGCTTTCCTATCCATTTTCCAAACCACCAACCAGGCGCCCAAAACAGTGCAGACATGATTTATGAGACCCCCAGCGTCTGCTAAGCGCCTTATACTCTTCGAGCGCTATTCGCAGACCGGAACATGCGTACACGTTCACATTACTAGGTCGAATTTGATCCAAGAGACATATTAGAAGTCGGTGAATAGATGGCCATATCTGAAACCTCACGTTAGCAGAACCCCGGACCGTTCGGGATAGAGAAACCCACTCGTCATGCCCGTTTGTGCCGTAGCGTTCGGGATCCTCAGGGTATCGGTCAAACTGGCTCGCGTCGCCCGCGCCGGCCTTGACCGGGGGCGTGTACGGCGCGTCAATGTCCTTGCGCGCGAGCCTGTCCCAGGTAACCTCGGTGAACCAAGGGTGGTTTTTCACATCGCCAGGACCGCCGTACAGGTTACCCAACCGCTTGGTGAGATCGGCCGTGATAAGCTTCTCCAACAAGTCCTGCGCGTCGGGGTTGATATAGGCCGGGTATTTCACCTTGCCCTTGAGGATGTTTTCGTAGATCTTCATTGGCGACCCGCTGTCCCAAAACGGTGTGTACCCGCACAACATCTCGTATATCAAAATACCAAGAGACCACCTATGCCAGGATCAGCATGTGAAAATGACTCTCCCCGCCGGCCACAAAAAAACAAAACAAAAAACTTACCAATCCACGGATTTCTTGTAGCCCTTGTTCGAGACAACTTCGGGAGCCAAGTAGTCTGGCGTACCGCAAAGCGTCCATGTCTTGTCTGGCACTCTCTTGGCGAAACCAAAATCTGTTATCTTAAGGTGTCCATGCCGGTCGAGCAGCAAGTTCTCGGGCTTGAGATCTCTATAGATGATGTTTCTCGAGTGCAGGTACTCGAGCGCTAATGTGACTTCGGCGGCGTAGAATTTCGCAACAGGGTTCGGGAATCGCTGAGAGATCGCATTAGCTCAGTCATGGATGACATGGTTTCTTTTAGAACTTCACATACCCCCGATTTTCTTAGCAGCGAGAAGAGTTCACCACCTTCGACAAAGTCCATCACCATGTAAAGGTTCTTGGAATCCTGAAACGTGCCCCATAACGTGATCAAGAATGGGTGCTTGACCTCGCCCAGCATGCGCCTCTCGTCGTTGGTATGTTCGACCTGCTTCATTTTGACGACCTGCGCCTTCTTCAACACCTTGACGGCATAGAAGCGCTGGTTGTGCTTGGATTGCACAAGGTGCACTCTTCCAAAGCTACCCGTTCCAAGCGTCCGCAAAATATCAAAGTCTTGCAGCGTGTATTTCCCCTTCGTCTGTCGGACCGCGTCTGCAGCTGCCTGCTGCTGTTGCTGCTGTTGCTGCTGCTGCATGCTTTGCTGCTGTTGAGGAGCGTGTAACATCGACTGCTGCTGCTGCTGTTGGAGGCGCGAGGGATCGGTACCGGGGCTGGGATTGGGTTGAGGGGCTTGCGGTTGCGCTAGGTATTGGCCGTTGTTGGCGGCACCGTCATGCTGGGGCGGGTTGATGAGGTTACTGATGCTCGGGAGGTTCTGCTGGTCGGCTTGGTTGTTGTTATTGTAGTGAGGCTGGTGGGGTGCCGATTGATTAGGCGGATGGACGGTGACGGGATACATCTGCTGGTGTTTTGCGGCCTCGAAAGAGGCCGAATCCTCCTGCTTCTGTCCCTGGCCGTTGGAGGACAGAGAGGAAAGAGTGGTCGAGATGGAACTGTCGAAGGGCTTCGAAGAGGTAGGCGTCACTGGGCTGGTGGGTAAGCTGGCGCCCTGAGAGTCTTGATTGCCCTCCCTCGTCCGTTTTTTCTTGAGAAAGCCGAGGGTAGGCATGTGGATGTCGGAGAGGTTAGAAGGGCTGCTTGCCCCTTGGAGAAACGGCGGAAATGCGCAGGCGCAGGTGTCGGGGCCCACGACGTTTGCAAGATGGGTATGGGGAAGGAACGGTCGCAAAGTGATTCGTCGATTCAAGGGACAGCCCGGTTGGGTTGTTGGGTGAGCAGCGGCGCGGGGGAGGGAAAAAGGGCCGCGGGCGTCAGTTGCGACTACTCAAGAGGGCAAGCCGGAAGCCGGGCTACGCTGGCAATATTGTCGTTAGGAACAATGAGGCCTAAGTCGGCGCATTCTTTGGCGGGAGGGAAGGGACAGATGGGAACGTACAGAGTTGCAAGTTTGCGAGAGTGCGGTATTACAAGAAGCGGCAGTCCAGGTCCGGCGGTAGTGGCAGTGGCAGCGGCAGCAACGCGCAGTCAAGGTAGGGAACCGGCCAGTTGGCAGTAATTGCAATTAGGGATTGCAACGGGAACGTAGGGCGGAGCAAGCGGGAGCTTCTATTTCTTGGAGGCTGGGCAGAAGAATGGTGTAAGTTTACGGTGCAGGTAGCAAATGTAACCAATGAGCAACAGGTTGCAAGGTCAAAGGGTTGGTTGATACACGGCACGCGGCTCCAGGAGCAAAGTAAATGTGAGCGTGAGAGCGCGACAACAAAGGAAGAGGGGAGATTCTGGGCAAGACGAAGCTAGGTAGGTAGGTGGAGGAGGGGGAAACGAACAGATGATGAATTGGTCGCCGTCTTTTGGGAGGGGGTCGGTCCTCTCAGTCTCTCTGGTATGGGGATGGATGCTTCGGCGGAATGAATGCAAGGACTGCAAGGTGGGATTCTGTCTTGGTTTCTTTTTTCTCTCTCAGTCGGAAGCGACAGATGGCTCGAATCGAATGACGAGGCAGCTCTCAGTGTGAGGCGTCAGATTCGGCTGTTGCGTCTGCGACTGCTGCGTCTGCGGATTCGTCTGGCGTCTGCTGGGATCTCTGGGCCGGGCCAACAGGAGCAACGGGATCTCTTCCCTCCTTCTGTATAGATGAAGGATGGTGGGCGGAGTAATTAAGGTAGGAGGCGCCGGGACGGTGACTGAGTCGTTGCGCGCACCGATAACTGGGGACAAGATGGGACCAAAGATTAAGTGACAGCTGTTGCCCTCAATTGATTGTATAGATGACACGGGGTCGATGGCGGCGAAGCTGAGTTGTTGAAGATGTCGAGAGCTGAAGTTGGTGCAGAAGGAGTCGAGAGGAGAGGAGGGGAAGAGAAAGAAAGAAAGCTTGACCAGTAGAAGGCGAGGGAGGTCGAGGCCGATGATGATGTAGGAAGTCGTGCTTTGGCTGCTTAAGGCGGCTGCGGGAGAGCTAGGGAAGGTGTGGTATTGTGTGAAAGGTACCGGAGGTGGTCGCTTCTGGCCGCGGAGGGAGTGAGGGAGGTGGTGGATAAGGTATGGATGGATGCTTGCTGTTGGCGCAGGGCGAGAGGGCGTGGCGGAAGAGGTACTTTGTAGCGGTGGTTCAGACTCGCGGGTCGACGCCCACGTTTAGACGGGAACGGCGTAGCCACCTTCCTAGCAGTCCCCAAGGTAGATACGACGAATACCTCGCCGTGGGTGCCTCTGGACAAAATGAGAAGCAAAAATGCCAATTGGACATGCCGAGGACGGTTGAATTGAGGTTGCCTTAATCTGATTTCTATGGTCGCGGGGACGGCCACCATCATGCCCACCCAGCACATTCATCCCACGGCTGCTTTCTGCTAGCTACCTACGTAAGGTAAGGTAGGTAGATACCTTAGGTCGGCAGGTACCTTTACGTGAGGTAGGTAGGTTAGCTGTGAGGTCGAGGTGGTGGTGACCAGCCAGCCCAGCAAAGGTGGGGTAGGGGCAGCCAAGTAACCTGACCTGAATCTCGACGGGTCACAGTTGCAGCGCCAGAGACATTTCCGACCTGCGTGACCTGGCCGGGCCCTCGATGATTGACTCGAACTTCATCTTGCCCCGGATATCAATTGCTGTTTTCTGCTACTCCTTCCAATGTGTGGGCTGCTTGCCTACACAACTCGTGTTTGATCAATGAATGCGCAAGCACTACACGTGAAGCACCGGCCAAGATGAGCTGCAAGACCATGACCATGACCCCTCATCGTGGAAGCACTGGGATTGGAAGGTCAGGTACCTTACCTCGCCTGAGGGACACAGCTGCCCTCGCCCACTCAGGTGCCCTGCTCCCCTAACTTACCTGAAAAGAAGTGGGAAGGAGACGTCAGGACATGGCTCCTGCACTTTCGCTGCTTGCTTGCACTTGCACTTTCACTGGCTCTTGCTTCCACCCGACGACCCCTCCTCAGCTCAGCTCACCCACCTCAGACCTCCACGAAAAGATACGTACCTGACTGCAACCTCGCCTCTAACCTCCCACCTCCTGTCACTTCAACCACCACCACCACTACCGCTACCAATCCTCCATCTGCGACCATCACGCTACGCCTAGAATGTCTTGGACGATACCCTTTCACGTTCCCGTCACTCGTCGTCCTCTTCCCATCCGCACTTGTCAGCGATCGTCCACCACCCCCCCCCCCCCCCATTGAGCCCCTCATTCCATCGATGATGGCCCATTCTTGCAAAGTCTCGCCATTCTCGCCGCGCCGCTACCGTCTTGCTCTACCGAAACCTTAACCAACCTGAGCTCTGAGCTGTCCGCAAGCTTGTGCAAGCAAATCAAGTATTTGACCCTCCCCGCAGATTGCAGTCCTGTCTCCCAGCCACTGCTTCCCAGTGAGACATAATGAGACGCTCGCCCTTCCCAACAGCAAGCAACAAGACGCCCGCGGAGACAGGAGGTATCAGAATTCCACACCCAAACAGGACGCTTTCTTCTCCTCCCGGCCCTCCCTGCTGACAGTCCAGTCCCGGAAACCCGGATCGACCACCAAGTCTCCCCAGTAATAAGCAGACCAAAAAACAATTCGTCCGATGGTCCCTGGCAGTTGCCGGCCAACGCAGCTGGAGATTCCCGAGACTGACAAGCGCCGCCGGGAACGGCTGTCATCCGGGCACCGATTCCTCACTTCCCCCCCGTCTCGATCCTGATTCCGCCGTAACCTCTTGACTGCAAGCAGTACGTTGAAACCGGGGTCATTGTCTGGTTCCAAGATCCCAACAAGCCGATCCCAGCAATGAGGAACCAAGGATCCGAACACACCGCGGCCCTGCCCTGACTATCTCGGTTGTCGCCTGTCCAGTCTTTCTTTGGACGTGCCGAGAGAGACTGGCTGTGGCCGATATGTGTGGCGGGAGCTTCCCACCGGCATGAGCCACATAACAGTGTCCTATCAGGATAACCATAAGCCGAAGCCACCCCATCATCCCGTCTACAAAAGCCTTCCTGCGTTGCAGCATCTCGGGATTGCTTCGAGCGTCTTGCTCGTAGCGCTTTGGCCGTCGGCATTCTTGCTATAAACGCTGAGAATCATCGGCATACCGATCTATAACCGATACCAAAGTGTCCTGCCCGTGAAAGTGAAAATCGAAAGAACAGACGATCCTTCCCGGCCATCCCAATTCATCCGACCAGTCCTGCATTGCACCGACATTGCGTCTTTGGACCGTACAAATTTTAAACCTGCCAAGTAGCCGTGCCAGAGAGGTTGTCATCCCGTAACTTTTGCCAGTTTCCCTCTAGCCTCGAAGCGTATCTACCAAAATCAACAAGTCATCATGTTTTCAAGATTCGGATCTGGAACCAATCTCGGGCGGATTACCGACGGCCGAGCGAGCGAAAAGACCGCCGCATACCTCAGCCACCCAATCGTAAAGTTGCTGGCATTGAACTTTTGCGACGACGTACTTGCCTTCTCCCACTTACTGAAGAACGCACACACAGACACACATCTCCCTGACAACCATCGTATAAATACACTTGATTCATCTCAGACTGAGTATCGTAAGAAACATGAGTGAGCGAAGGGGGTTTTGTTAGAAAAACACAGCCTTGAATCTCGTTTTTTGGTTTGTTTGACCTGCCCATGCAATGTGTGAGTGTCGTTGGTATGTACGGTCATCTCTCCTAATCCAAACAAACTCGCCGCCCCCCCTCCCTTTTCGTCCGTCTTTTTTTCCATCATTCTGTTGCCCCCGGATACAACCTCTTGACTTCAGAAAAAAATAAATAAACTTCCAAACCCATCATCATCACAACTCTCCTGCTTTAAAAGCGGTGTCTCTTGTCGTTCTTCGCCCTCCAGGCAGTGTAGCCAACGTAGCCACCGCCGACGAGACCGAAAAAGAGGAAGACCTTGAGGAAGAACCACGTCCAGCTGCCGCCCTCCTTGGGCTGCTTGACAGATCCGGAGCCCTTCTTACCCTTGCCGCTGCCCGGCGTCGTCTTGCTGGACCCCTTACCCGTCTGCGTCGTGTAGAGGTTCTTGGCCTGGATCGAGATGATGTCGTGGTTGTCGCTCAGCTCGCCCGTCTCGGCGCTGAAGCCGAGGTACGCGATCTGCGGGATGGCGGGCGGGCTCTCCGTCTCGAAGCACAGCGTCCAGTCGCCCTCGGACTTGTACTGCAGCTCGAGCTTGAGCTGCTTGTCCTGGAAGTACGTCACCTTGGCCTTGGTCGGCACGCTGGCATGGCGGATGCCGCGCGCCGAGCAGCCCGCGAGCTCCGTGCCCTTGCCGTCGTTGTCCTTGTCGTAGGCCGTCTTACCGTCGCCGTACATGGCCATGACATAGGGGAACACGGTGCCGGGGCGGTTGTTCTTGTACGTGTCGAAGAAGATACCGAGACCCTCAAAGTTATCCGGGCTGCCGAAGACAGTGCCCTGGGTGCCGCGAGACTTGGTCACCCACATGGCGAAGCCGTCGCCGTAGAGCTGGTTCTTGCCGTGAATCTTGAACTCGACTTCAATCTCCCAGTTGGTCGCGGTCAGAGGCACTCTGCTAAAGAGCCAGCCCGTTTGCGACGGACGGTCGGACGTTAAGCGGATGTAGCTGTGGTAACCCCTTTGTTTAGCCTCTCTTTCTCTTGTTTGTTTCCTTTCTCCCCCTTTTCCTTTTCCTTTTGTTATGGGCGGGATGCGACATACGAGTCTGTTCGAATAATAGTGTCTCCTCCAAAGTCGTACCATCTACTCGCCATGTCGGAATCGAGGTACGGCTACATTGTGAAGAGAGGTCTTAGTATATCGCAGGTCAGGGGGGAGACACGTGGATGCGGGAATCGCGAACCTGGTTCAGGGAGTGCGTTCGGAGCTGCAACACCAAAAGTCAGTTCTCGTCATCTTCTGCAACTTTGGGCAAGTTGCGCAATTGATGCGCTCGGAAGTAGACAACTTACCGCGATGCTCTTAACCTCGCCATCGTCCGCCTTCGCGGCACCCCAGGCCATTGCGGCCAGCCACAGGGCCGACACGGATGGCTTGAACCACATGATGAGGAAGGTGCCGAGTCAGAACAGAAGGAAGAAACCGGGGGGAGGAAGGGAAAAGAGAGAAACTGTCGTCGCGCACGCGTAGAAACAGAAAGGAGGGCCGCCGGGTTGAGGGTGGGAGGTGAAGTAGCCGCGAGGTCGGTCCAGCGACGAAAAGACGTCGTTCGGCACACGAATGGTGGTGGTGGGTTTTGCTCGTGTGTTCTTCCCAGCCGTTAGCTGTCCTCTTTTTTTGGCCGATGGATCCTGATTCCTGGGGTCAGCACGTTTTGGAGAGCTACTACCCCTGTCTGAAGGCACTAAGGAAGATTCCAGGGGGGAAGGTGCCTCCCAAGAGTGACCTTCGCAACCACCAACAGCAGTACACTCTAGCTGCTAATTGGCGGGTCGGGCGGTCTTCAGGAGCCCCCTGTCTTCCAATAAGTGAGTTTGTGGCTGAGGCCTAGAGCCTCAGGTGCTTCGAGTGGTGCCTCAGCCACAACAGCCTCGCCTCGATCGCAAACCTTCCGACTTTTTTGTAGTGCCAATGCCGTTCAGCCCAGCGCATTCGTCATAGCAAAAGAATTTCGCCAATTCCAACCACCACCAACCGTCGCAATGGATTCCACCTCGGTCAAGCAGGCTGTCATGAAGCAGGTCCTCCAGGAGGCCAACCTGGCGAACGCTCGCGTTCTCATCGACGTGAGTGGAACCCTTGAAATGGACGTCAACGACAAATTAAATACTGACGGGTAATGTCTCCAACAGAAGCTCCAAGAGAACTGTTTTGAGAAGTGCGTCCCCAAGCCTGGCACCTCCCTGTCTAGCGGCGAGACTACATGCATGACCCAATGCATGGAGAAGTACATGGCGGCATGGAACCAGGTCAACACTGCGTACATCAACAGGATAAAGCAGGAGTCCGGCAACCAGTCTCTGCTGTGATCCAGCCACAAATAAATCAGCAGGAGTAAAAGGAAGGGCTGGATGTTTATGAATGTACTATCACTATACGACCATGAATCGCAAAGGAGGGCATCAACAAGCCCAAGGGAAGCATCAGCTTGGGGCGTATATAAGGGCAAAAATCTTGCATGAAGGATGTTCCATCAAAGGCTCTGCATCAAGGCTAGGTACGCCGTGTACAACAGAGGCAATAGAAAGGAAGAAGCATGGTCCACTCTCATAGCCTGTTTTCCCGAAAATATAAAGGGAAACAAGAGAAAGCTTTGTTCTCGGGGGGTATCTTTGATCTTGGTCGCTGGACATCTACTGCTCCGCCAGCCCCTTCGCCTTCGCCTCCTCCGCCTCCCGCTTTCTCGCAAGGTAACGCTCCCTTGCGCTTGAAATCTCCCCGTCCGTCTTCCTCGTCTTCGTGGCCCTCTCCACCTTTTCCTTCTCCTTCTCCTCTTCCTCCCGTGACCTCTTGAGCGCCGCCTCCAACTGCGCCTCCATCATCCGCGTCTGCCGCTCGCGCATCGCGCCCTTGCCCCCGGAGCCGACGAAGCCCGACCCGCTGCCGCGATCCGGTCTGGCTTCCCGCGGTCGCGCCGCCTCCTGTCTGACCTGTGCCTCCTTCTTCGCGCCGACGTTGAGGCCGCCCCTGAGCAGCTGCCGCTTGTCCACGACCTGCCCCTCCTCGTTGACGGCAACCGAGCCGCCCTTCTCGTTGATCTCTCGCGCCATGTCGGCCTCGGTCTTCTCCTTCGGCCCATCCTCCCCCTGCTTCTCAGCCCCGGCAGGACCGGCCTTGGCCTTCTCCTCCGCAGCCTTGAGGACCTCGGCATGCCTCTCCTCGCCCTTGTTCAGCATGTTCTTGTAGAACGCGCTCATGCCCCCCGTCTTGTTCTTCTTCGCCTCCTCCTCCTCTCGCCTTTTCTCCTCCTCCTCAATCCGCCTGTTCTCCTCCTGCTGCTTCTTATACGCCTCCGTGACGAACTTCTCCTTGTCGGCGTACTCCTCCCCCTCCGCCTCGCGCTCCCTCGCAATCTTCTTCTCCTCCGCAATCAGCGCATCCCGCTTCCGCACCGACGCCGCCGCCAGCAGGCTGCTCATGTACTTGGGCTTCCTCTCCACGTCCTCCTTCGTCTCCTTCTTCGCCGGCTTGAACGAATCGTACACCCCGTCGTAGTCGTACACGCTGGGGTCCAGCTCCTCCGCCTTCTCGGCGTGTTTGCGGGACGCGAGGCTGCTCGAGAGGTCGCCAAACATTGCGCTTTCCTGTTTCTTCGCTTTCCCTTCAGGAGGATGCGCCGGCGGTAAGGGATTCTTCGTCTTGGATTTTCTGCCGTTTTCTGATCTCGAGGTTGAGGATGGAAGGTCGAAGCCGCCTAGCTCGTCGAGCGTCTCGACTTTGTTCGCTTTAGTTGTTGCATCGTCGTCTGAGTCGTCGCCGCCGCCGAATGCTGTTTTCCGTTTTGGCGGCGCCGACTTAGACGCGCCAGGCTTTTTGGAGAGGTTCAGTCCGAATGATAGTCCTGGTTTGCTCATTTTGGCGGTCGTTGTTGAGGACGCAAATTCGAGGTTACCTTACGGAGGCGCGTCTGAGGTAAGGCAATTCCCATTGCGCCGTGCACGGTCCATTCGCGACCCACTCCTGCAGCAGGCCGTTCACCCCAGCACCGAACTGCATCCGGAGCGGACCCGGCTGGCCATGCCGATTTATATCATCTGAAGCATATGAGAGTAGGCGTGTGTTCATCGATCGACATTGCAGATGGGAATTGGCTGTTGGTTGTATAGTTCGTTGCAAGAGTCTATGAAAAGTAAATCTATCTCGTACACGTGCGGCGGTCTCGCCGCTATTACAACATGTCTATACAAGGAAGTGCGCGAGACTGGTCAAACTTCCGTCTCATCCTCTGGCGCGGGAACTCAAGCCGAAACTCCTAGCAATATGTTCTCCCCAGCTCTTGGTGGAGACTCGAATTCGATGAATGATGATCCAAAAGAACAAAAGGAAAAGGATGGCTCCAGGCAACCCCTAGAGACGATTACAGTCTTACGCGGCCTTCTCCGCCAAACCATCGGCGAATGTCTGACTCGACACCACCACCGTTGTTGCTGCTGCCTGGTTCGTCGTCATCGCCACCCATCCATTTGGGCTTCTTGATGTCCTGGAACCATTGCGGGGCCTCGAACGTGTCAATCGTGTTCTTCATGCGGTGACCGAGAGACTCAAAGAAGTTTTCGTCTTCGGGCTCCTCGTCCCGGTACGGTCTTGTGCGAGACGCTTGTCCAGGCTGGCGATCATGCGTGGCTCGAACAGGCGACCTCGCTGGAGACGCTGCCGCGCCAGTGCGTGCCCCTGGGATGGTCAAAACAGGTGCGGACCTTCCGCCAACTTCAAGCCGTGCAAAAGCTTCCTCTCGTCGTCGCAAGGCAGAGTTACCGCCTAGTTCACGCTCGATCAAGTCTCTGCCCTCTCTCCAAGACCCGGTTCCAAACACCCTGCCATCGCCCTCATCATCATCCATGAAGTCCCCGCCGAACCCGAACATGCGCTTAATCTTGCCATACAGGCCGAAAAGAGTGGCAGCAACGGGGACGAGAACGAAGATGGGGAACAGGTAGTCGGCCCAGCGACCCATGGGGGTGAAGTCGATGAGTTGACCGAGGAACCCGTAAAACCGTGTCTTTGAGTAAATGGATTCAGACAAGAATGTCATGAAGTTGTAGGACAGAGGGACGCTCAGCTTGGCGACCTGGCCAGCGTACCAGAAAGCCGATTCGTAAGCCGTATTGCGTCGGACGAGAGCACGTCCTCGCCACGTCTTCACCTCGGTCATGGTGGTAAAGGTAGCTGCGCACATGTACAGAAGCCAGAGCACCGAAATAACTTGACCGGCGAAACCGACCTGGCCCTTTTCGCCGACCCAATGGTGAACAACTGTAAGGCGGATGACGGACAGCTGAGGGAATGCAGCCTTAATCACCTCAGACCAAACGATCAAGGCCGAGGCCACCGCCAGAAATGCTCCGAGAAAGATGGCGCCGTACGGTTCGCAGTGATAGTAGTACAGGTATCGGGTATATGGTGTATGTACGGTGAAGCGGTCCCAGAATCCCGCGTGGGGTGACGGCGCACCGAACTCGAGCTTCTTGGAGGCTGCAGAGTCGAGAATAGCTTGTGTCTCTGCGGCTTCCTTCAAAAGATCGTTCCATTCGTTCACGTAGCGGGACCGCGCATGTCGAGCCCGCATCAATTTCCTAGACAAATCCGCCATGAACTTTTCCGTAATGACAGTCGGCAGAGAACGGCTCTCGACAGCCACGCCCATCGTCGACCTGGGATGCGACTCTGGAAGGTTGGCGCTCTCGACGAGCTCGTCGATCCATTCGCTGAACTTGACGGCGCTTCCTGTCTTTCTGCGGCCCAGTTCTGACACCTGCAACTCGACGTCCTCCAGGTTCAGTAGGGAGTCCTCCATCTTCTCAAACAACTTCGGGGCCCGTATCTGTAATCTCCGCAGTCGCCCACTGATAGACGAGTATCGAAAAAGCCGCCGGGGTATCGAAACAAGGCCGTGACCCATTAGGTATATCGCAAAAACCAAGCCGTAAAAGTATGCAAGCGCCATGAAAGAGGTCTTGAGTGTCGTAATGCTAGGTTGGTATCTAATGAAGAGGTACGCAAGGCCGACACCAGCCGTGCCGAGAACCATGACGTGGTACTGCGCATTCTGTCGGAGTGAATACTTGAGGCTATCTTGCGGTTCGCGGTATCCAGAGTCGGAGTACTCGCCCAGGATGGGAAGAATAAACCTATCGCAAAAAGCGTCAGTACATGGCACAAACACAACAAAGTGGCAAAACTCCATACCATGTCAACGCGAACGTCAGCCAGTAAGTGATCCTCCACGAAACCAACAGCATGCGCTGGGGAAGCCAGACGCCGCGGGTTGCCTCATCGTCGGTTCTCGCGCTCGAAGCCAGGTCGATTGGGACTAACAAAACCATGCATGCGGGCAGCCATAATG